AACTCACTGTGTAGCCCAGGCTGTTCTCGAACTTGCAGCAATCCTCCTGTCTCAGCCTCCCGAGTGCTGTGATTACAGGCATGTACCACTACACCTGGCCTGTTTCCTATCTTCTAAATATCGTGACATGAACACTTTTAATATCACGATGTAATTTTCCCTCATGATTTTTATTGACTACATTGCATTTATTCATTCATTATTGCCGAGCATTTAAATCGCTCTACTTTTCCACGGCGAAATATAGTTTTGCAGTGATAGGCTTTGGGCTGCTCTGCGTTTTTTGGAATACATCCTCGGGACAGATTCCTAGGTGCAGAACTGCTAGGTCAAAGAATTTAAATAGCTCAGTGCTCCTGAGAAGCCTCATGAAATCACTCTTTGGAGCCTTACATCAACTCACAGTGACACTAACGGTGTGGAGGAGCCTGGCTTTCACCGCTTGGTTGTCAGCACGCAGTTAAACTTGTGGGTGGAAGACAGCACCTGGCTTTACCTTACTATTCTATTATTGCTGGCGCAGATGGACTTTTCCTGTATCTGCTTACTCTCATTTGTGAATTACTTGTATTCTTGACCTTTCATTCATCTGCAAGCATTGTGTTTCTTCCCTAGCCATGTGGAGCCTTGAATCACCACTTAGTAGGGAAAGACAGTATCCTCCGTCACCCCTGCTCACACAAACCCTGGTCAGCTGGGGAGCAGAAGACCTGTTTTCTGCCTTTCCCTCAGAGCAACTTGAGAAAACACAAAAGGCACAGCTCGATCTCTGTGCTCTTAAATAACTGGCTATTTATAACAGATTCCAGCAGAGTAGATAATTAGAAACCACTGAGCGTGCATGTGCTTTGTCTCACCTGTCCAAGAAAGAAAACCCAGAGGTAACAGTGAGCTTGTGCGGACCCACAGCACCCAAGCAAGAGCCCAGCTGTCGTCCCAGCCCACCCTGTCCCCTGCTTCCCTGGGCAGCTCCAGGCTCCGGAGTTCTTCCGCGGAACCCTCGACTGTTTGCCTGCTGTGGTGTTTCAAGAAACAAGAGCATCAGGAAATCTTTTGAGCTGATGCCTGTCCTTATTCCATTTCACAGCATCCACATGAACCAGCCTCATCCTTTGCAGCTGAGCATTTCCTTAAGGACAGAGAAATAAGGAGCTGAAGACAGCTCAGCTCAGATGAAGCCCCTTTCATGAATTTCACATACAGACCCCAAAATCAGATGGTTCGTGGGTCAGCTGCAGTAGCACCCTCCACCATCCATTTTCGATAAGCTTGGGGGGAAAAGGTGTCAAGTTTTGTAAACATTTCTTAATTGCCAAGAATAGCAGCAGTCCATTGGCTGTGGGCAGTGAGTTTTGCCTGAAAAAAAATAGCTCGTCTGAATGAAGGGACGTGTTATAAGCCTTCAGACTCCATCAAATGCATAGGACAGCATACATTTTCCTCCTGGTTTTCTTTACACGCATGCAACCCACCTTTTTTTTTTTTCTGGAAAAGTACTTAGTAATTCAGCACCAAGACCAGTGAGCACTCGTGTGGCTTGTGAAGGCCAGATGGAAAAGCGTTCATGAGCCTTGCACTGAAAATGCACACAAAACTGTGAATGCTGAAATAAATCATCAGTAACAATGATAGTTTAATCCCACCTTGTACAAATCTGTTTAATTTGCAGGTGTGCTGTTTAATGCTTTTCAAACTATTGATCTTACAGTTCGTAATATTAGATTTTAGTATAGGAATAATTGTAACCGTTGGTCCCCTTCCCTAGTTGTTTAGTAGACAATGAGTAAGGTTTTAGCAACTACTAGAGAGGATTGAGTTCGATCTCTGCAAAGTTGCATGGAAGTACTTCAGTTTCCCCTGTCCCTTTTTAAAAAGTTAGCAGCTAGCTGGGCATGGTGGTGCATGCCTGTGATCCCAGCACTTGGAAAGCTGGAGCAGGAGGATCACTGCATGTTTGAGGCCAGCCTGGGCTACAAAGTCAATTCAAAGCCAGCCTGAACTGCATAGTGAAACACTGTATCAAAAAGACCAAAAAAAATTTTTTTAATTATCACTCTACTTAGATGTCACGTTATTAACTATTACTTAAGTACTGCCTTTTACTCAGCATACCTCTTATTTACCTATAAATAAATTATAAATAAATATATCATCACTGAATTTTTTACTACTTTACTACATGAATAAAACTAAGAATCATATTATTGTATCTAAAAACTTTATAGAAAATCTCTTTCTCTTAAAACAGATGAAATGTCTTTGAATGAGTATGGAAGTACTCTAGATTTCTAAGTTCTTTCAGAAAGAAAGAGTAACATACTTACATTTCATAAAACTATTCTATAGCAATTGATATGTAGTTTAATGCACATATTTTAAGGTTTTGATTTTGTTTTCGTTGTACAATTATGTCCTTTTTTACTTTCAACCATTAAATTATTTCCCATGTAACATTTCCCCCTCACCCTTCTGAAAAATAAACTTTTTCTCAGACCCGTGGCTTAGCAGCAAAAGCAAAGAGAAATTACATCCGTTCTGCTCCCAGGGAACAGGGATGTGTGGTGTACTTGACAGAGCTCTGGGCCAGAGAGGAAGTTTGGGTGCTGGCCTCCGCTGTGCAGAGGCAGGGGTTGTTGGAGGTGTGAATCCAAAAGTGAGCGCTCAGTCCTCTTTGCAAGTCAGCTTCCCAGGGCCGCTTTAGGACCTGCGCTAGGTGTCTCTGTGTCCCCTGCTACTCCAAATGTCCCCATTCCATGAGAGCAACGTTTCGTGTCTTATCTGGACTCCTTTGCTGTCATGAGGTTGTCATCTCAAGGGTGGCTGTCAGGGAACACATTCGGTGTGTCAGTGTTTCTTTCTCTTTCCCTTGAAAACACTTGTTACCTCATTGCACAAGCAGTTGGGGCTGGGGGTGCGGCAAGATTCTTAGTTTTCATGTCTTTTTTAATGTTCAAACATGTGAAGTTAGTTTCCCCGAATTATTTTGGCCCAAATCTGAAACTGTCCGTGCATTTTTATGCATATCCCAAACTCAGTGTTTCATTTAATGTATCCACACACTGGTTTATCTACAGGAAATCTCACTTTAATACATGAAAGCAATACCACCCAATGAAGCACATGCGTGGTGGACACTTCCCGGGATGTTTATGCTCTGTGAAACTTCCATCCCTGGAACTGTCTGCCTAGAAAGGCTTCGGTGACCAAGATCAACTCAAAAGGCTAGATTGAGAAAAAGATGGGGGAAATGTGACCACCTCAGCTTTTTTTAAATGAAGACTTCTGGGGTTTGTTACTTCATTTTAAATAAATTGTCAGAATTCCAAACACGGTCATAATCAAAGCTAACTGCAGCACCCATTTAATGGATTAGTACACAGACATTAGAATTACGTTTATGAGGAATTCTTAAGGATGTGGCAAATTGTTTTTAATATGGTAATTGAGAAAAAAGTACTATAGCTTGATTTTCACTAAAAGGAAATAAAAATATTAGCATCTTAACTTTAGCTTTCCCTATCTAATGAATTATGTTATGAAATTTTATTCTATTTTTCCTTTTTGAAAAAACAATAATTTGTTAAAAATGTAAAATACAAATTATGTTGTGCATTTTTTTATATTGCTGCAATTTTGAGTTCTCTAATGCTTGTACTCAGAAGAATGGCCCAATCAAAGGAACAAGACAGAAAAAGTTCAACTTATTCCTTGTCCCCGAGGCCCTACCAACAGGCCATGACTCAGCTAGGGAGGGCAGAATAGTCTAGTGACATCAGTCACAACAAAGAAGCTCTAAAAAGTCACAAGGGCTAGAAACTGCAGAGCTGAGATTCCACAAACACTTTTTGTTTCATGGAATAAACACTTCATACTAGATATTAGATACACACTAGAGATCTTGGATGAATAAGAACACATCTGTAAGACTAAAAGGAGCTAATCATCTTTGGGATAAAGACAAGAAAGTAAATTCTAAGTATAATGAAAACCATATGAAGGGGTGATCCCAGCATAAGGCTTGAACGGTCAGTTCAGCTTAGGGAAACTCAGAGGCAGCACTGGAGTCTAGACCTGATCTCAGAAGGAGGGCAAAGTTGTACTTGCAAAAGCAGATGGAGCCCACTTGGGCCAATCCACAGGGCCCTCCATGGTGAATCTGGGAATTATGGTTACCTATTTCAGTAAGGGCGAGTGTAGAACGTGAACGACACAAAGGGCAAATGTGGGAGGAGAACAATCATTTTGAATGTCCCATTCAGTTGGGGGGTCTTTGTCCTGTGGATGACAAGAGGCCATTAAGAGATCTGAAAGCTGTGGGTGTACATTAGATTTGCATGGTGGTGGTGTGGGGAAACCCTGCGTCCGAGGGTTGCCCGGGAAGATGGTCTAGCCAGAGGCCATGCTGGTCGCGGTCTGAGCTGGGGCAGGGACTAGAGAAGGGAAGAAGAGGACGTGGACGTGGCAGAGCAGACTCAGAGCCAGCAGCCTCCTGGGGTGAGTGGGAGGAAGTGGGGAACTGGGGAGAATCCAGACCCTGATTTTCTGAGAGATAGAGGAGTCATTGAAGTGGGAAGGGAAGGAGTAGATGCTGGGAGTTACCGAGCTTCAGTTTGGGGCACAAAGGTCTTTCCCCTTCTCTTTCCTTCCCTTGTACCTCTTCCTGATTTTCCATCTCTTCCTGTATCTTAAGCCTGTCTTTCTTTTTATTTTCTTTCTTTCTCTTTTTCCATCCCTCTTTCTCATCTCCTTCCTTCCTTCCTTTAGTCACTGACTAATCTTTCATCAGTCCCTCCCGATGTATCAGGCACTATCCCGACACATCATCCTGGGTCCTCTGTGAATCAGGCCAGGTTCCATGTGTCTGCAGCCACCACAGCTGCTGGGCATCTCTGTTCAGGACACAGCTAGTCAGACAAAACACATAAAGCGCTTAGCTTCTTCAAGTGATATTGCATAATGCGTCTTTATATCAATCCCACTAATGGCCATTTTCTTTACAGGCAGTGCCATTATTTCTGTTATGTTTCTAAAAGAAAATTTGAGAGCCTCGGATATACTTGGTGAGTAGTTATTAACTGTAACATTGCTTGATCAGAAAACAGTACTATCCATTTAAAACTGTGTGCTTTAAAAACAGAAAAGATACTGACATGAATGCAGATTCTCATTCACAGGTGATCATTATTTTATTTTGGAGCTGTTATCTCCTCTCACATAACATATTTCCATTTGCATTATGATTACTGTGCTTTGGCTATAGCAAATTATTATTTTGTAATATTTTATGCATGTAAAATTTTTATGAAGATAATAAAATTCATCAAATATCTGTGTTACCTAATACACTGTTGCACTTCAAAGGACATATTCAGGACATTGTTTCCTTTGTAATGCATAAGCATGAAAACCATGTAACATTAAGTTCACCAACTAACAGTCTATTGTGTTTCTCTCCTCAAACTGCCTATTGTGTTTAGCTCCTTCTAAACGTAACAGAGGAGGTTGCTTTTCAGATTTCTATTTTGGAAATACAGTTATTAATAAGAAATAACAGTAGCCTCCCTGGTTCTAAAAAAGACTTCTGTGGTACATCAGTGTTATCTTGGTTCATTGTATCTTCTTGCTTTTGTTGGAAATATCATTGGTGAGAAGAATTATAGATTCATATATTCTTCCCTGACAAAACCCTGTTTGAGTTGCTGCTGACATATGGTAATGAATACAGAGACTTTAGGCACTTTAAATAAAACAATGCCTCCTCTCTTCCAGGGAGATCATATTTTTTTAAAGATGTGAGCTCTAAATGTGACACCAGTGTTGGTATGTTCAGCATTTGTTTGCCCTGATCGTGTTTCCCTGGAGCCTAATGTCTTGAAAGTGTTTTCACTTTTTCTTTTCTTCTTTGGTTTGATTCTGCTAGTAGAGTTTTTAGTCAACAATGTCAAATTTTTCATGGTTAAAATGTTTTTCTAAATGCATTCATATGTGAATTGTATCTTTTCCAACACACTATTTTTCTATATTCTATTTTATATGTTGTGGTTTATGGAATCATTTGAGGAAGTCATATGAAATCAGAAATCAAAATGACCAGCACCTGAGTTTTATAAATTAAAAAATTTAAGTTCTACTTCTTTTTTCCACTTATAAATGTCTTAAGGAAACTTTTTTTATTGGTGCATATTTGTGATACATAATGAGTACATTTATCCCAACATGTTAGTACATGTACATACCGTACCGTAATTCTTTTTATTTTTCTTTCCTTCTGTCCTTTCTTCTCCCTCCATCCCTAAGTCCCTTTCCCATCTGCGGAAGGTCTGCCTCTTTGTTTACTTTAAGGAAACTTTGAATCCTTTCATTGAATATCTGTCATTTTTTGTTGTTAATAGTTGATCACTAATATTAATCAAATTTAATGAGAGATACAATGGATATAATGGAGGATTTACTAATTATCTTGAATATTAATGATAAAAATATAATTACATCTGAATCTCTACAATTACAACTGAATTTACAGTCAATGATAAAATATATTCGTAAATAAGTTTTAAAAATCGTGAGCCATGAGCCTTATGGTTAGCACTACTAACATTGGGTTGAGAAATTCTTCTTATGGCGGATTGTCTGGCCTGTACCTAGTAGAGTATTTCACCTAAAAGATGCTTCCAGTGCTCGCTACCTCACTTAGGATAACCAAAAGTGTCTCTAGATGATACTAACTGTCCTCTAAGGGAAAATCATCCTCTGCTGATGGGTAGCATAAAGAGAAATGGCTCTGGCTGGGAAGGTCAGAGAGAATTTTTTGTAAGCAGAGCTATCATTTGAGTTGCTTTGACAGCTACAAAGGACACATAGGCCACATCCAAGGATATGGTGGAGGCCATGCAAAGGGCATGACACAAGAAATGTTAACAGAAGTGTGGAAAGGTACATTAGGTTCTGTTTACTGTTGTACTATAACTGCTCCATATAAGGATTAGGACAAAAATAAATGAAAAGGGTAACTGCGGAAAAGGAAAAAATAGAAATATCATTTCATGCAGATGACTTGATTACAGTATGAACTTTAGCCAATAGTGACTAAACCAGAGGGAATTAGCTCAGCCAATTAAAGGATATAAGTTAACTCCATTTCTATGGATTCGAATCTGGATTCAACTTCTGCTATGGACTGTGTGGCCAGCCTAGTATTACTTAACTTCTCAAAACCTCTGTTTGCAGGCAAATACATAAGATATTTTGAGGATCCAATTGGATAATCGATGTAAAAGCAGTTTGAGGAATGTAAAATGCTCTCACTGTAACAGTTACAATGACTATGGTTACCTTTATTCCTAAGCAACACCCAAACGGTAATACTAACAGTGTAACATAAAGAATAGGAACCTCACATACATATTTACACATGTCAGGAAAACAAACTAACAAAATAAGACCTCAAGTGAATTATATAGGAGTCCTTGATACAAAACTATTAAGTATTCACTCTTGCCAGGTCCTCTGATGTATTTTACGTGGCTTGTACTATTTAACTGCAAGAACAACTCATTTACAGAAGCAAAGTTCGACATTTAGGTTAAATAACTTGTCCAGTGTCATCTAATTAGTAGGCGATGGACTATGTTCTAACAATGGAAACCTGATAAAACCAGACTACAATTGGTTAACATGACTCTCTAGTACCAGCAAGCTGTATGACTTTTGTAAAACTACCTAAGTGAGCTTTCTGAACCTCAGTTTCCTCATCTGTAAAATGAAGATAATGTTACTTACTTTTCCAGAATTAAATGAGTTCATATATTAAAACTCTTAAAGCAGGATCTATTCCATAATAAGTGCTCAAAAATGCTAGCTGTTAGTATTATTACTACTATAATCACCCACCACTATGCTTTACTAGTTAATCAGAAAAAAACCTCGATTAGATTGTCTTTTAAACTTTAGTAATCCAGCTAGTATGTCCCACAACTCTGATTTGTTTTGTTCTTGCCTTCCTAACTGAATGCTTTTTGAGTAGGACTATTTAAGTAACATTTATTTCACACCATCAATCTAAGCAATCTATTCTTACCTTTAAAATGTTGTCCTGGTAATAAAATAGGATTTTTAAAATCCTACCCCATGTCCTTTCGTCCAATGAGAAATATTGCAAGATTATCATCACTGGGGTGTCATGACTCACTTCATACTTAGGAAAGGACTTTTCCAACCTTGCTCAATGATGTGTTGAGGCAGATTTGTTTATTTTGGGCCTTTACTGCTATTGCCTTAAGAAAATTTAGCTCTTTCTGTTAAAAGCAAAATATGCCCCCCTTTTTTTTCTTTTTCTTTTTTTTTAATATGGACCAAAACCAAACAGGGAAAAGAATAGTGGTATTTTTTTAAAGATTAACATATGAGTATGCTAAAAATTAAATTGTCAAAATGTGAGAAGGAAAATCATTTATTTTCCCCTACTTGAAGCAAATGAAAGTTTGTTTTTCATGGTGGAACAAATGAAAATTTCTGGGCCATGTGGAAACAAGCTGAACTAATTTATTGCCAAATGCTGCTCTGTGGCTATGAAGCTTTTCACCACTAGCCTTAAAAAAAAATGACCTCACAAAAGCTATGTCTGAAGGGAATCGCCAGCTATTATTAACTCACTGACAAGCTCTGGACTCTGCTCTGATTCTTAGTGGATTAATAACTTTAAATTATTTTAATGATTATTTTTCCTTTTAAAAACACCAGTTTCTCTCCCTCCAATGAGCCAAAAGCTCTAGTGTTTCCCCTTTTCTTCCCCCTCCATCATCAAAAGCATCAAACCTAATAGTCTGTGAGATCCTAGTTGATTTAAGCCCAGATAATGTCATCAGAGACATAAAAATTACAGTCAGCGCAGCAGCACTGCCCAGAGACAATAACTAGGCCACATCAAGTCACCTACAAAGATTTCCTCCGTGGGAAGTCATGATTTTAATAGTGACATAAAGACCTCCTCCATCCTTCTCACACATCTGAAGCCAGCGTGCTTTGGGTGCAGTATCTAGAATCCAGCTGAATAAAGCATCATTGCCAGTTGAGGGGGCAGATTGGGCATTTTGGTTTCAGAGCTGCCTCAACAATGGAAGCTTTCATGACAGATGTCAGGATGTTTGGATTCACCGCATTGTTGAGATCTCCCAGGCTTCTTTAATCTCGACTGCCGTGAGCCCAATAAACCCGGAGTGACTGCACTTCCAGAAGGGCATTTCTAAATGGTCTGATGAGGAGGAGTCCGGTTAATCTGTGACTCCTGGTATCCCACAAAAGCATTTGTTGGAATCCAATGGATCAAGAGACGTACTTGCAAGAAGCAAACGAACCAGATAGCAATCTCGTTTGGAGTCAGGTTAGCTGGAAAAACTCTGAAGGCTCCTGGAAACCAGGTCAATGCAAGTTCCATAAACTGGAAGATAAGCAGTTAATAATAGTTGGCATCCCACTGGGCAGACTGGGGACAGAATTCAGAAAGATTTCAAGTTTTTGTAATGGGCAAGAGTGGTCTGGGAAACAGACCTTGCTGAGCATGGAAGAGCTGCACACATCAGTCATGAAATGCAAGGATTGCCCACGGCTGGAGCTCAGCAGGCTGGAGCAGCTGGCAAACAGCACTGGCATCAGGATGAACCTGAGTACAGGTACAGGCTCAGTTCCCTGCCATCATAGTTACACTTCATTCCTGCCCATGAGTGTCTACCAGACACTTTTACAACAACAGAACGATAGCCTCCCGAAACAAAGGCTGTGTTCTCACAGCCAGGTCCAATTCAGTAACAAGTATATCCTCCAAATACAAAACATGCCCCAAAATATGACTTCAAAGCAACATGAATGGACAGATATGTTTAGAAAAAATGACAAGCATCATCTCTCAGCGGTTCACGGTGTACCTTACCACATCGGTGGATATAAGTGGTCTTTCAATGGGACCACTTATTCGCTTAACTCAACTCTTCTCAATGTAGTTGCTTTTTTTGGTGGGAAATCCATTTTCTGAAACTACTTACAGGGAAAACCAATTTTGGGTAATGTTCTGACAAATGAACTTTAAGGCCAGAAATTCCATGAGTAGTCAGGAGCCCCGGGCCCTCTGCCCTCCAGAACAGGCTCCTCCTCTCCTGCCAGTCTGTACGCTGGGTAACCCCAGGGGCTCCACTCATGAGGACTCCCACAGACTATACTGTGCCCCACACTTTCCATTAGCAACCTCACTCATGCACGGGCCAGAATGTAACTGTTAAGGAAATAGGCTACCTGGGTTCCAGTCCAAGGACTGAACCTCAGAGCTGGAGAGTCCCAGGCAACAGTCTTTCCCTTTGTGACTCAGTCCCTTCATTTGTCAATTGTGGACAGTAATAGTATACATTTTATGTTGTATACGTTATATATTATATGTTATATGAACTCTATATAGTATATGTCATAGTATAATCACAAAATAATAAATAGTAGTCCCCCCTTATCCACATGTTTGTTTTCTGTGACTTTAGTTGCCTGTGATCAACTACAAATCAAGCATATTAAATAGAAAATTCCAGAAATAAATAATTCGTAAACTTTAAATACTTTTATGAAAGTATATCATTGTAATTATTCTCTTTTATTGTGATTCATATTGTTTATTGTGATTCCTATTTTATTATGCCTAACATAATTAAACTATCATAAGTATGCACATGTGGAGAAAAAACTATTTTTCCTTTTTTTTTTTTGCCTTTTTGAGACAGGGTCTCACTATGCAGTTTAGGCTGGCCTTGGGCTCACTTTGTAGCCCAGGCTGATCTCAAACTTGCAAATGATTCTCCTGCCTCAGCCTCCCATGTGCTGGGATTACAGGAGTGTACCACCATGCACTATGTGAGATTTCAGAAGCTTTGGAATGTATCTGTCATTGATAAAGAATTTGTCATAACAATAAAATGTTATGTATAAAGCATTTAGAATTTGGTTCAGAGCATTATCTATTACAGTTTTTGTTATCAGCACATTTTAATATGTCAGCCATACTTGTTTATGAAATCAGTAGTTTTGAGAATACCACCTTAAAAACAAGGGATACTGTGCCATGTCATACCACCCCCCAGGAAACCTAGTGCATCACTGTAAAGAGCAGGGACTTGCTTGTATACCTGTTGTACACATAGGACAAATTTAAAGGAAGAAGTATAATGATAAATGTGAAATTCCCACTAACCCACTTTAAGTAACTTGAGTTGTTCTTGGTGAGAAAATGGAATTGCTGGTGGTTTGGGCATGAGGGTGGAGGATAGGGCCACATCCCCGAATTGTGGGTGGCATCCAGCTTCCAGGCATGGCCTGCTCAGCTGCATGGCTGCTCTGTTTCCAGTTCCCTCCAGTGTCCAGATGCTGGTGCACCAGGGCCTGAGGTTAGCTGCGGGTAGAATAGAGCTGCCACGTTTGCTTCTCCAGCCTCGGTTAATATTAGGTCATTTCTGTCTTTCTGTTTTCTTTTAAGATGAGTAGGAAGTAGTCTTCATTAAGCCACAAGAAGTCACCAGCCATTCCTTCCACTGTCAAAGTGAGCTCTTGCCTCCTTAAGGACAGCCCCAGTATGGGTCCCTGTCCATTTCTGGGCTCTGCTGTCGGAGACACAGTTATAGATCCACTTGCAGGCAGAACTGACATGTCCTTGACTCGTGACAGGCAGTCAGCATCCTGAAATGGATCTGTCCTAGGTCCTCTGTCACATCTGGCCTCCAGGTGAGCTTCCAAAGTATCCTGCTGCCCAGAATGGCCTTTTACAGAGCCAAATTCCTGGGGTATGATGACTTAAGTCATACCTAGAGATGAGACTGAGTTACAGCTGGATCAGTAACTTGTTTGAACTTCTGGCTAGCAAGTAGCAGTGAAATTTGAATTTGTCAGAAGCAATTTCAGCTGGATTAAAATTGCAGGATCCAAGGCTTGACCCAAAATGTAACCACTCCAGTGGGCCAGGAGCACATTCCTGCTGCCTGCTTCCTTTGGATCTGACATGTCCCTATCACGTCTTTGGGCAAATGAATAGTAGGTATGAAGAGGGGCTGTGAAAGTTTGATTACAAAACTATTAGCATTTTATTTATTTTTCACTTTGCAATAAATGCAATAAAGATACACATTAATAGAGTATACACAAAGGGCAAATGTGGAAGTTCAGGTGAAACAGGGAGGAATGTGTTGGGATGTACAAACAGATAATACTGAATATTAAGTTAAATATATACTACTTCCTCCGTATCATGAAATACTATGCAGACCTAAAGGAATGAGATGTGCCTACATCTCCTCTGAGAAGTTAAGTGGGAAAAAAAACCCACAAAATAGTATATATATGGTTTTATATGTAAAAGTAATACTCTTTCACATGCATGCATATATGCATAAAATATCTTAAAAAATGATTTTGAGAGCTAACAATGCCAGTTAACCTTAGAGAGGGAAACTGGGACCAACAGGTGGAAAGACTGAAATTTTCACTGATTACCTTTATGTGTCTCTGAGGTTTTATGCCACATACGTATATCATCAACTAAAAATGAAACTAAAACACAAGAAAGTTAATTGACACTAGGCGAAATGAAGAACTGTTAGAGGAGCTTAATGTATAATAAACTTAGACTTCACAAAAGAAAACAAGGTGTCTGAGACTGAAGTACATTCAAAAGCTTTATGCTACTGACTATACACAATTTAGAAACCACTTTTAAAAATCCCTTCCTTGAGGCCATTTGCAGACCAGGGGTAGAGAGAACAAAGTGACACCAGCAAGCAAGCCCAGTGTGGGAACCAGCGCCATGTGCGGGCTGCTGCTGGACTGGAACAGACAGACCCCAGCCCCTTCCAGCACACAGCCTGGCCAACAAGAAGTACCAATCCCTTCCGCCATAAGCAACAGGTTTATCCAGAGAAACAGGCTGGGATGATAGCTATGGAGGTGAGATGCAATTGGATGCCTGTGGTGCTCTGGTGTTTCACTAACACTGCAGGGCTAGGGCCAGTGGTCTGATCACAGGTTCAGATGATAGAGGTACTCAGTGTGGCATCCAGGGGGGTCTCCTTCTGAGGGTTTGCAGCCATTGTTGATTCCTTGTGGTCTTGTTTTGAAGTCCTATGTAGTTTCCATTGTTTTATTGGGTTGGGTTTTATTCTGATTTGTTTTGTTTGATTATGTCCAATCTGATGGCAGGAGCAGCTATTTCAAAGACAGCAAGATACGTTATGGTGGCAATCTTGGATTTACTATCGGCTTATTTTGAAGTGCTTTAGTGTATTCATTGTTTTGTTTTAATTGTTTCTATTCTATTCTGTTCTGTTTGATTTTTACTATGACCAAAGTTATCTGCAGCTATTCTGAAGACATCAAAAGGCATTATGGAAACTATTGTTGATTTTGTAACATTTTGAAGGCCTGTATCTTTTACACAGGTTTGTTTTGATTAATTTTATTCTGTTTTATCCTCTTTAAAATAAATAAATAAATATGCAAATATCTTCCTTGGACCAGAGATGTTGCTCAGTGGTGCAATGCCTATCTGGCAAGCTCAAGGCCCTAAGTTCAATTCCCAGTACCAAAAAATAAAATAAAATAATAAAAATCCCTTCCATCCAACCTAATTCAGAATAACTATATTATATAATCTTTTTGTCCCAAGGAAAAGGGCTGACCAGTAATTTTCCCCCATGATCTTATATATGATTTTCATTATTTTGCTTTTGTTGCAGTGTTTAATAATGTATACTGTTTTTCACTATAAAAGTTCTTATTAGAAATAACTTCAAAATTATGTATATAACCTTTGTCTTCACAAAGTATTATAGAATAAATTTTTTAAAAACTTGTTTATAGCTTCTAAAATATCCTGAATAGGCACTGTGTAGCTTGTGTGCAAAACCCCAACGCTATGAGGCTGGAGATACAGCTCAACGGTATAGCACCTGCCTGGCATGTGAAAAGTGTTCAATTCTCAGTACAGAAAAATGAAAAGTAACCAACGCTATCCATTCTTAGAAACTAGTGTTCAAAATGTAAATCATGCTGTGAGGAGGATTAGGAAATTGGTGCCCTCACACCATGAGACTTTGTACACAGCCTAAATTGTTTTAGGTTGGAATCAATGCTGATTGTAAATTATATCCACAACAATGCTGATCTCAGTGATGAAATGAGCGGGATAATGTTTTCAAGTGTGGCACCTGAAAAATGCTACTATCACCAATTTATCCCAGGCTGCTGATTATAGGTAAATAAGCAGTTTTTAGACGTATCTGAAAGGCAAGTCCTCCTTTCCGCCCTCCTGTGGTGGCCACGCCTCCCACCCGCATTCCCTTCATCTATTTTTAGTAATGCTTAACTGATGATAGGAACACACTCCTGTCATTGGATTTCTGATGTCATTTGTTTTTACTAAGCTGATCTTGGAATTCTAGATCCTAGGTATGATTAATTAAAATGTAGGCCAGTGATCACCATTGTTCCTCCTGCTAAAAGGACTCCAGTGAATGCAGTTTCCGAGGGTGACATCACCTGTGTGGGTATAGAGCCGCCTGAGATGAGTAGGTGGACTTCACTTCCGGGACCCAGGGCCACCGTGATTTATTGGCCCACGTGGAAACAGTCAGCCTGTGGGAGGGGTTTTCAGGTCTCTACATGCACACGGTCTGACCAGCTCTACCCTCTGGGAAAACTTCCCTAGGAGGCCAGGATTCACTGGGACAACAGAGGGAAACCAAAAGTTACTTCCTGCTCCATCCATGCCTGGGCTTGAAGATAACAGCAGGCCAGCCTTGAAGATAACCTTTCAGTGAACCTGTGATACTCTCTAAGAGTGGTTTGATGAATCATATTTTTATAGGGTGGGACCATCCATGGCTTGACAACTAGCGCTCCATCTCTAAGTGATGTTTGTATCAACACAAACCTGAGTGTCCCTTGTCAACTTTGTCTTTTTGTTTTATTTAAGGTATGACATTGGCCATTGCAGGAGCATATTTGTTGGTGAACTTTGCTCCAAATATAACTCAGGCTGTCTCAGCAAGAAGAGTACAGTATTACTTTGTTGGCTGGCAGTTCCTGATCTATGTGGTAAGAACTATAGATATTTTATTATCGAGACCACCAGCACCTCCAGGGGTTAGAGGACTGATACAACCTCTTCCTGTCACACTAATAGCTTATAAAACGTAAGTGTATTTGACTAATACTTTGAAATGCTGAGTCAACAGTAGAAGCATCTTCAAAAGAGTTCTTTTTGAGATCCATGCAGTAAGAGAGGAATAGGCAGCAGGAATACAAGCCTGAGTGATATGTAAAGAAAAAACAAATCGTGCTGCTTTAGACGTTTACCATTAACTGAAGGTTTTAATTTTATAGTCGCGACTATAAAAAGGGAACTGTGATAGAAATGGTTGATATATAACTTGTTAAGGAAGTCAACTGAGATTAGAGAATAAGACTATTCTAGAAAGAGAGTGTTATAAGAAGAAAATTGGGATCATCTGGCTGGGTATTTAACCAAGAACTGAATTGGTAAAATAGTACATTTGCTAAAAGAATCAAATCATATTGAGCTATACATTTTTAGGATTCACAGTGACCTCAGAAAGCTCCCTGTTCCAGGCCTCTGTCATTAAAAGCACAACAGTGTGGTCCTACTTTATGTGGCTAGCAGGTAAAAGTGTGACATTAAAGCCACGAATTGAAGCCGGATGCCTTGGAGCAGACCTGTAATCCCCGTTATCACAAGTTCGAGGCCACCCTGGATAACTTAGTGAGACCCTCTCTCAAAATAAAAAGTACCAGGGATATAGCTCCGCGGCACAGGGCTTGCCTCGCCTGCATAAGCCCTAGACTTAATCCTAGCATGGGGGTGGGGTATGACACTGGCATTTACCGGGACATACTGTCCGGTGACCTCTGCTGAAGTGTAACCCAGGATAATACAGCAGCAATTCCTGGTCTGTGACAAGAATTCCATGTATCCCACTGTCTCTGACTGTCATTCTGGCCACTGGCACACCAATATTCAGATCCTTTCACTTTATAGTCTCATTCTTTCCTCCTTTCTCTCACCCTACAAGGATACTTAGGTTCCCCTGTCCCATTAAAAAAATCCTTCATGCACTACACACCCTATTTCCCTTCTTCATTCGCCACCAAAACTGACTCCAAATCCTCCGTGCTCGTTGGCCCTGTCCACTCCCAGCTCCATCCACTCCTGCTTTACCACACTCTAAAGTCTGGGAACGCCCTCTTCCCATACTGCCCAGCAGAACTGCTTTGTTTGATCTGGGTCCTTCTTGAACCAGCGTGGGGTTCACCCATGCCCACCGCCTGGACATACCGCCTGGCGCCTCTCTCCTGCACCATCCTCCCCGTGGTTTCCCTTCCTCCTCTTCCTCCCAGGCCCTCGGAGCCTCTCTGCCTCTGCCAGCACTTCAGGCCTGTGTATCCTCTCTGAAGCTCTCCCCCACATCATCCTCCTTCCAGACCCAGACCTGCCTCTCTTTCCGCGCCCTCTTCTGTCTGCTCGTCACTCCTCCCTGCCCGAATGTTCCAGAGGTCTCTCAGATGTGGCATGAGGTTGAACTCCGGGTCTCCCTCTCCGAACTCTGCTCTCTTACATTTCCTGTAGCAGCCTCCCGAGTTATCTCTGAGACACACGTGGCTCCTGCCCACCTCCTTTCTGCCCTGCCCTCCACTTGAAAGTCCCTTGAACTTGACCCCTCTTTTACTGTCCCACACCTTCATCATCTCTTGCTCAGACAACTGTAGCAGCGTCTTAATGAGTCTGCCTCCCCTGCTGTGGCTCTAAGTATCCTCCTAAAAACACATCTTCTCCCTCAGCACTGCTCCACCATGTAAGCCGGTGCCCTTGTGGTTCCTTCTGCCAGCAGAGTCCCCCGTCTCCTTTGACCCATCCCTTCCAGCTCTGTCACAGGCAAACCCCTCTCACAGACACAGCTCCGCTGGGGCCTTTTCTGTGAAGTTATTTCCAGTTGGTTGCTGTATTTTATGAGCTTTCCCCAGGCTACATTATGTTTTATCTGTTTAGTGTATTGGTTCTATTTCAGCAAGCTGTGGACCACTTCAGAGAGAGAATTATCACAGGTCGGTCAGCCAGCTGTGAGCCCTAATGTCCTGCCTCATGAAATACCTTGTCCTGGTGTATCATGACCTCGAGTTTCACTCTCAAGCGTTTTGCTTCTTCCTGAACTCTGTCACTTCCTGCCTCTTCCCTTAGCCTCTGCTGCCTTCTAAATTTTAGGGAAGGATGGACTTCCCAGCTCAGATTAGTCTTCCCAAAGTCTGTCATAGTCTGTTCCTTCCTCCCTGCCCCATTCATTTTCCAATTGTCCACAGTCTTCACATCTTTCATCAATCAGCTGTGAGCACTAGCAGGAGTTTTAATTTCTGTGATTTACTTCTGTTCTTTGTACTGTGTTGAATATTTCATGATAGGCCAGACTTGAAGTCCTACCAACACATTACTACTTTGTGCCTGCAGGCAAGAAAGAAATTCTTCATTCCAGTAAAAAGAGTGACATAGCCTGTGACCAGAAAATTAATAGCCTGGGTTGAATCCTTTAGAGATTAAAGATGTATCAAGGCTTATTTCCTGGAATAAACTGCATTGTTTGGTAATGATGTGTCTTGTGCTGCTTTAACACCAGAGGAAACATTTTAAAAGAAAAAAAAGCTACTTTTTATCAAACTATACTTCTACCAAAATAACTGGAATTAATTACATTTTGCCACCTTCCAAAGTCAACATTTAAATTCATTTACTCATCCATTCAATCGATTGGACCCTGAGATTATGGGGAGGGATTTCCACAGCAGGAATTGAACAGTGCTGGGAGAGAGTTATCCTTCTGTAAACTCATATTATGATAATGAAAGTATGTTTGAAAGTAAATAGCTGCCTAGTGAGACCCTATCTTTAAATAAAATAAAATAAAACACTGATGAGGTGGCACATGCCTGTAATCCCATCACTCAGGAGACAGAGGCAGGAGGATTGCTGCAAATTCGAGGCCATCCTGGGCTACATAGTGAGTTCAAGGCCAAAAGGAGACCCTGTCTCAAAGAAAAGAAAGAAAGAAAAGTAAACAGAACACAGAAAAATGTAAGTAATCCTAGGTATTTATAAGATAGCATAAAGTAAGTCTTAATAAAGTCACATTTAAACAGTTCTGTTGGTATTAGCCTTTAAAAAGAATAGATCCATGTAATTTTGTAATTTAATCCATTATATAGTGGAATCTCTGAAGACAAGGAATGGCCAATTATATATAAGATCTTGAGCTGGTCTGGTTTAAACCTTTTAAACATCTAGGTAGTTAACATTTAATTCTCAGATAGGACAGACTCTGCTTTTTATGCAAAGTACAACTCCAGAGATCATAATTACAGCAATCAAGACAACGCTTTGATGAATCGTTCATCCATTTATATATTACACACAGTAAAGGCATTTCAAATGCCTTCTTGTGCTGCATATATAATTAAGATGAATACAAATGTTTAAAAGTTCTTTCTTTTTCAGTACTGGACATTGAGCCTATGGTCTTCTCATTGAGTAACATCCCCAGGCCTTTATTTATTTTTGTTTTGAGATTTGAGATCTCCCTAAATTGCACAGACTACGTTCAAATTTGTGGTCCTCCTGTCTCAGCCTCTCAGTGTAGAAGTCTTAATAAGTGTTACATTTCTCATCAAAGAGACTGTAAGATTGCCCTACAGACTGGCCCATTTCACCCTTCCCACACGTGTTTACCTGGACCCAACTGGTTTGCCTTTAAGGTTTTCATTGTCTCCCTGCAGCGTGGCTGGGGAGCTCGTCCTCTGGTCTGGTCTTCCTGTGCAGGTAGAGGACTGGAGATCCAGTGTCTCCCAGACCTGGAGGAATGAAGTGTGCTTTGGCCCCTCACTATCACAGCCTTTCCCGTCGCTGCCACAGATGCATAGTACTCAATTGTAGAGCTTACTGAAGAGCAAACAGAGTGGGGTTCCAAGGTCAAACTGGCTCGGAGATATTGTACAAGATGGTCTCTCTGAGGGGACCATGACAGAATCCATCGTATCTGCCAGCAGATGGGAAACTAGAAGTCCTTGAAAAAGAGAGAGAGGTTTAATTTTGTTAGTCCTGCATACCATGGGCTCTGCGACCCAAGCACCCTTTTCTTGAAGGACTGTTTTTTGAACAATACCTATTAACGTGTTCTGCAAAGTCCACACGAGGAAACACAGCCCTAAGCTTCAATTACTTCATGTTCTTTGGCAGGCCGTGTTGCCCACCCAGATTTTCCAACAGACTATTCAAACTGAAACCTCTGTTATGAACATAAAATCCTTCACAAAATAATCTGCATGGTGCTCACTTTCTCTCCTCCAGACCAAAAAAAAAAAAATTAAATCAGCAGAAGCCGGAGCCAACCCTGTCATTTGGAGTAATTCTATATCCCAAAGCCGATTATTAAGTCAGCTTTTCTGGCAAAACCTGCTTCAAAACCCACCATCAGGTGTTAAGAACCTGAAGGGAGAAAACTGTGTGTTTTTATACAGCGTTAATGTCTCTTGCTTGATGTCTTTTGCTTTGTCGTCTGGATGTGAGTAGCACTTGGGGGCCTGCACAGGAAACATCGCTGTGGTACAGGGGTCCAAGTGTGGCTCCAACTGCAGCCTGAGCTTTACCTGCAGAAAAGCTTCACACATGGCCACCGTTACCTCTGCGACTCACAGTTGGGGAAACTGAGACCTTAAAGAGGTCTCAGACCTTAAAGAGGCTCGGAAACTTGCACAAAATCACAGAAATATGAAGTGGGAAAGCCAGAACTCCAAAGCAGGCTGTGCTCCCTGTTCTCTGGGGACTCGCGCCATCCAGCACACTTCACTAAACACCGCTCAGCACAGAGTTAGCAAAGCTGATTACAAAGGACCAAATCTTCATCCAGACTTGGCCGTGGAGAGAACCTCGGCAGAGCTCATTTCTTGTGAACCAAGAAAGCCGTGTCGAAGGCTTATGCTTTCAGGAAAGAACCTACAGACTGAAGAGGAGGGAACTCGGGCTCGGATTTGGATACTGGAAGGGGGCCTCCAGTGGGGAATTACGTGTTTCTGTCACCAAATCACCCCTTGGACTGTCAGTACCTTCTCACCACTGAAAACAGGGTGACTGGTGCCTGCAAGTCTAGTGAGAGAACCAACCCAGCAATCCTGAAATCAGTTCCCCTGGAAAGACTTTAGGTACCAAAACCTGCATTCCTTCTCTGTTACCCTGGCAACGGATCGTCACACACTTAGCGGCTTAAAACAACACAGATGCCTTCCTGCACTTTTCTAGGTCAGAAGTCAGCCCAGGTCCCACCACAGTCAGACCAAGGTGCCGGCAGGCTGTCTCCTTGCCGGATCCTCCAGGACAGACTCGGTCTCCTTGCTTCCCAGAGCTTCAAGGTCAGTTCCCTGACCTGCGTTTGTTTTCCGCAGCTGCCTCCCTCCACCACCTGGGAAGCATCTCTGCTTTGAGGACTCATGTTGGGCTCACTGGTGTCACCGGGATACAATCCCCACGGCACCTCTTTGGGCCCCTGCTGCCTACCAGGTCTGTCATTTAACCTCTCGAGCCCAACTTCGTCACTTGTAAAGTGGGGACAGTGGTGGCGCCCACCTCCCGAGGTGGTCACGAGGATCGTGTGCATCAGGACAGGAGAGGTCTGTGGTCAGGACACAGCATGCCGTGGGTACCCAGGAAGAGCTGTTTCTGTCTCACCTCACAGACAACAGTCAGCAAGGCAGGCTTTTCCTGGAGCACAGAGACCGTGAAATCATACTTCTTTAATATGGATAGTTTTTAATGTTGTGGAAAAACATTAACATTAATTCATACTGCCTGAGTATTTTGTTCCCGGGAGCTAAAAAAGCATACATGGTTTTTAGAACTAACAGCAACTACCCTCAGCCCCACCAAAATCAAGAGTCCGCCTGCAAGCAGGTGCAGCTACCATGCACTGAGCGTTGGTGCGGGAAGAACCTGCTGTCCTCCGGCAACAACTGCAATGCTGGTGGGAGCAGGCTGGGGTGGCCGCAGGTGAAGAGCAGAGGCCTGGCCTGGGGCTGGGGTCACCAGGCCCACAGGGGTCTCCTGTTAAGTGGATGAAGAGCAGAGAGACTGGCACACCCGTGTTTTGATACAGCATTAGAGAAGGCACCTTAATTGCCTTTGTAGCGTGGCTCCATTAAATTAAAGGCCTGGCAGATGAGTCCAGTAAGGAAAAGTGAAAATAATTGGTTTAATCTTCCAGGAGAAGAAAAGCCCAATGGATGATTTAATCTTCCATATTAGATGAAAAGCTTTTAAAATGACAAAGATACAGACCTGCTGCTTGCCATTGTCCGCGAAGAATTACAGAAAGACACAAACCAACAAGCAGAACTTTGAACTGCAGCAGAAATCCAAGTTGACTTAGAGAAGACTCTGTGAGTAAAGCGCAGTCCTGGAAATTTCTCCCTTCAGCGTTTCTAAGAAAAAAATTGGTACTTTTATTTGTCTGCTGTCAGAAAAGCCTTCATGTTTATGACTTTGGTCCAAGGATACCATCTCTTATAAAAATAATAATGATAACTTGGCTTCAGGTTATGGTAAGGACTACAAAATATTCTTCATCGGAGACAATTCAAAATTACACTAAGAGTTTTCTTAAGGGTAGCAACATTTTAGACTTTCACTCAGCTATGTTTATGAACACTCAGTTTATTAGACTTTAGGTCTCTTTAAGTTATTTGTAATACATTTGAGGTGTAATTTATGTATTAATTGCATAATACTTATTAAGCTGTGTGCTAGGTGGGAAGCACAGATGAGTCCCTGTTTTCCCTGAGCTGGCATTCCGGTGGGGGAGACGGACAAAACACACAGTGTGTGTGAACAGGAAACGCACCAGGCAGTGAGAAGGCTGCTACCTGAAGCAGGTGTGACATGTGACTGGGTGGCTCTTTTAGATCAGAGTAGTCAGGAGACCTCTCAGAAGAGGTCAGATTCTAGCTGAGAGCAGCACCTAGGAGCTGTTGCCCAAAAAGCATGGTTAGTGCAAAGGCTCAAAGGCAGGGACAGAGAGCTGCAAAGAGCAAGGAAGAAAGGAAAGGGAGGGATGGAAGGAGGGAGAGAGGATGGAAGGAAGGAAGAATGGAAGGAAAGAAAGAGAAGAGAAGAGAGGGAAGGGGAGGGAGGGGAGGAGAGGGGAGGGGAGAGGAGGGGAGGGGAGGGGAGAGGAGGGAAAAAAGAAAAGAAGACAGACTCCATTGTGCCTGGCACAGAGTCGACCATCCAGAAATGAATGGTACAAAATATAGTCCAAGAAGTTGACTGGGTTTTATTTTCCAGGAGCTAACTGGGTTTTAATTTAAATGGGATAGAAAACCAAAGAAATTTCAAGCAAAAGAATACTTAGGTTTGATTTATATTTTTACTACCAGTAACATCCTAGATAGATTGCATAAACATAATGCACAGTAAAAACTATTCCATTAGGATAACGAAGGCCAAGCATGTGCAAAAAGAAACAAGTTGTTCGGGACTATGTCAAATATGATAAGGCAGTTTAAAAACTGAATGGTGAGTGTGGACCTCAGCACAGCGGCTCCTGGGATGCACAGCGTGGTGGGTGGTGGGTGACACCCGAGAGGCTCCCAAGAGATTGGTAGGTTCTTGTTTAAGTTGGGTGGAGGTCGTATGAGTACCTGTCATATTATTACTGTAAATACATGTAGAGCATATCTATTCTCTGTGAGTTAAATATTTCATTATGCCAGTTAAATTTGTATTTTTTATTTTATTTTGAAGATAGCGAAACAATGAAACAAAACAGAATAAAGCCAATCAAAACAGGGAAGGTGGTACAGAACTTCAAAGCTGGATAATAGGAAATTAACAATGGCCACCATAGTACACCTTGTTATCTTCACAATAGTTGTCCATTCCATCAGAGACAGTAAAATCAAAACAAAACAGAATAAAACCAATTCAAAACAGCACATTGGGGGCTGGGAGATTTAGCTCAGCGGCATAAGGGCCTGCCTTGCAAGCAGGCAGTCATGAATTCGATCCCCGGTACCGATAAAAAGGAAAAAGACAAAAAAAAAAAAAAAAAAACAGCACATTGAATAAAGCAAAAAAGTAAATCGGAACAAAACAAAACAGTGAGAACAATATTAGATTTCAAAAACAGGACAGACGGAAATCCCCCATATTTGCTATATTGTATATGGTTATCCTCCTAATAGTTGCTCAGACTAGTTGTATTTTTAAATGATTCTTCTGGTTGCTGACTGGCCGGATGGTTATAAAATCAGAGACAAATCAGATTATTGTTGTTGCATAGTCCAGAGAGGATGATGGAGAGAAAAGAAGAGAGAGGAATCTTTGGCTTGGGTGACAGGACAGATACTGAGCAGAGGCCCCAGGAGTCCCAGCTGGGAAGCAGGCAGTCAGGGGTAGGTGTTGCCCGCATTGTGTGCAGCAGCTGTTAAGCATGCATGTGGACGAGTCTAGGGAACTGAGACTGGCGGTCCAGGGCCCAGCACCGGACAGTCAGGCGGATAGGTGAACGCTCTGAGTGCCCATGGCTGCGGCCTGGCCTGTGTTCTCCTGTGTTTACAGTCGTCCTTAGAAACCACAGTCAGGGGGCTGGGGATTTAGCTCAGCAGCATAAGTGCCTGCCTTGCAAGCCTATGGTCGTGAATTCGATCCCTGGTACCGATAAAAAAAAAAAAAAAAGAAACCACAGTCAGCCTCAACTGTTATGGGACTGTTGTAAAATCAGAAAGTGTGGCATTTTGAAGACCTCATATGGCATAACTTAGCTCTTTTTTCATCTTTTCTTTCTCTAGATTTTTGAAATATTGATCTTCTGCATTCTCCTGTACTTCCATAAAAGAAAAGGAATGAAGCACATTGTGATTCTGCTAACGCTGGTGGCGCTTCTAGGTAAGCACGTGTTTTGTGCTGTTGTCCAGCGAGGGCCTGCTAAGTCATAAATGGGATTTGAAGGACACAGCTTGAGTATTCTATTCCTTTATCACTGTTTCTGATCTATAGAAAGAAACAGTCTAAATTACACAAATTATGCTTTGCATGACTCAATTGAAATATATTTAATTCTTTACATATACATTTAAGGATTTTCTTGATAATTTTGCTTCCTGAAAATTTGAGAACTTTTTAGCAAATAACAGAAAGATATTAAAAGAAACAAACTAATGAACTTAATTGATTCTTTTTGGTGAGGAATTACTTGCTGAGATCTATCCTGTTTATATTTTCCTAGGTAACTTTAAAATATGGCTACTATGAGATAAATAGCATGTTTCTTTTATTCATTGTTTACCGACTCATTTAGTTCTTTAAAGAAGTTCCTAGCAAGGCTGGAAATCTGACACTTTAATAATTCACATTATTTTAATGTATTTCTCTGTCTGTGTCTTTCTTTCCTCCTACTCTGCTTCCTTCTCATGTACCAACACTGGGATATCTCATAGAACACTTCAGAAATTCTCTTTTCAGAAATTTATTTATAACTCTTCCTTTACCTCTTCTTTGCCAGTAAATCATCAAGTATTGTTTGCTACAACTTTGTAGGTTGTATCCACACTGCTGAAGCAGGCTGCAGGCCCCATGCTAATGCAATGCTGGGACTTTCGGTCTCTACCTCCTTTCGATTGGAGGGTTTGAGTTTATGATAATTACTTCTAGAAACAATATGGTATTCTACCCTGTATTTAGGTATAATGTTAATGAAGATAACAAAAAGAAAGGGAACTTTAGTTTTTTCTTTCTTTTTTCTGAGTTACCAGATAAAGAGAACAAAAGCAAACAACAAAAAAAGAGGAAAAATATATGTATATAGGAAAACACTGAAAATAAAGGGAACTTTAAATAGGAACATAAGTTAACTTCCAGAATTATGATCATACATATCAGTTATAAGCATAAATATAAATGGCATAAATTTACCTAATAAAAGAGATTCTCAAACTGGACATCAGAGAAACTCTCAAGTTGATTTTGAAAAAGATCCTATGGGCATAGGTTCAGCTCTGAGTTATTCAAACAGCCACTGTCAGGGCTCTGGGGTGCTCCTTCTGGGGGCCTCTTACCCCTGGACTGGCAAATAATTAGCTACTAAGGATTAGCACAGGGGCTCCAGGACCAGCTCCCCTCTTGATGGCTCTGTTGGCTTTGAAATGTTTCAGCCACATACATCAATTTTAAAAGCAAAATAACACAGGTAACTTGAAAGTAGAAGAAAGTGGGATTGTGATATTACTATCTAAGTTGAAATCAATTCAGAAAATATCAAATGTCACAGAAGGATGAAATTTATCCTGATTAAAAAAGAGAGTCTAAGCCAGAACATTACACTCAACATGCTACAGAAAAGCTTCAGCAAACTGCAAAACTATGTTAATAGAAATATTAATGTTAAGGGAAATAGCTTCTCTAAGCTCTTACAAGTAGAAATAAAAATGTTTAAAATTAAGGATCTGAATATTTATTTTACTATTGCACAAGTTAGTGATTTTGCTTATTAAAAAATGAAACCACCATCAAAATAGAGGCAAAATAAATGTGACTTTCAAACATTTCAGAAGCTTACTGCTTATTTGTAAGGATCTGAATATTTAATGTTGAACTGGTACCTCTAATACTGAACAAATACAAAAACAGAACACACTTTCTTTCCAGTGCCTATGTATCATTTACAAGTTAATTATATAATAGTCACTAAAAAGATCCTCAATAAATTTCAGGAAATTGAAATGGTACAGACCACGTTTTCAGATCACAGTGAAATAAGAACAGAAAATAATAACAAAAATAGAACCCAGCAAAACCCTACCACCTGGAAATGTTAACAGTTCTCGGGCTGCAGCTGAGTAAAGGAAAACACAAAATTTCACTGCGGCACATATTTTTAAAATTATTGTGAAAGCAGTACTAAAGCCTGCAGTTATTCACTAATGCTGTCTTGGGAGGAAATTAGTTGTTTTAAATTTAAGTTAAAGCACTTAGTTGAAGAAGTCAGAAAAAATACTGAAATAAACCTAAGGGAGACAGAAAGGAACAGTTGATAAAGGCAAAAATTTATGAAACAGAAAATAGAATAGCAACAAATTCATAAATAAGCCCAAGAATCAGTTCCTTAAAGGGCAACGAATGAAATACATCATCTCTCAGAAACAAAGTCACAAATATTCAACAGTGAGATGAATGGATGAGATAAATGGATGGAAGGATGTACATTTTAATAAAGTTTAAATAAATTACTTCCTTTTTATTTACATAAAACTCAAATACTTACTTTTTAAATGAAAGTAACTTTAGAAGAAACAAAATTGTTAGAAAAGCCACACCCTAAAAAAAAGTGCTAATGCTGACACAGATTCAAAAACAGTGTCTTCAAACCTTGACAATTTTCACATGTTCTTAAAACATGATCAGAAAATATTGATCCCAACTCTGAAAAAGATAGCACAAAAATAGAAAACTATGAACTAATTTCACTGCCAAACATTGATACAAAAAATCCCAAATGAAATATTAGCAAAGTCAAGCCAGGGCAACCCATGTTCGTGACCAAATGATCTTGTGAAACTTGTTCTTTTTCTTTGTAGCACTTACGATGATTTATACTCACAGTCTACTTCTGTGTTAACTGGATACTCTGAGTTTATCTTCCTCACAGGCTAGTTCTGTGAAAGTACAGTCTACGTCTTTTATTCATACTAAATATACTTTACCTAGAACTGTGTACATACAGCAATCACTGTATGTTAGTTAACTAGTTAGTTAATTAACTAGTTAGTTCATTGTGGCACTAAAAGGATGATTCTTTAGGAAATTATTAAGTAGTTTACTGTGCTGACAAATTGGAAGGAAAATGTTGAATTGTTGGTCAAGTAATATAAACTTTCAGTCACAAGATGAATAGTTCTGAGGATCTCATGTACAGCATGATGACTGCAGGTCACAACAATGTATTGTATATTCAACTTTTGCTGAGAGTAGGTATTAAATGTTCTCAATTCTTCTTTAAATCAAGATATGTATCTTGTACAGGTACAAATTACCTATGATGATTTATGATCATTATGTATATCTAAAATGTACCAATAAAATTAATTAACTACATATAAACACAACGATGCTGTTTGAGGTGATGGATGTATTTGCCAACTTGATTACAATAGTAGTTCATATAAATATATATATAATCACGTTGTACACCTTAAATGTATACAACTTTATTTTTCAATGATACATCAACAAGGATGGAAGGCTGATGTTGTACAATTATCTCAGTTGATGCTGGAAAGACATGTTAAAAGTTGCATATCCAGTCCTGATAAAGCACTTCACGCTGAAATACTAGAAGTGTTCGTATCACAGTAAGAAATAAGAGAGAAGATGCCCACTCTTCACTGTGTTCTATTTGTTGTTTGAGTCTTTTACAATGATTTGTGGTGACTTTTATAAAAAAAAAAAAAAGGAATATGGAAGTCATGTAGTAGCTTCAAAACATAGAGTGTAACATAAAGTGGAAAAAATATACAACATTGTTCCTGTGTTTATTGTGATCGAAAGCACATGAGGCAAAAGCTGGAAACGAATGGGAAGGGGTAGCCGTGATAGGTGGAGTGTTTCTTTATTGTTGCTATAATATTGCAGGGTGGATATAAAATGGAACAAAAAATAAATAGAAAGTGAGAGCAGTCATAGGAAGGAGATCTGATTTCCAGGGAGTGGCTCCCTTTGCCTGTGTTTGTGGTCTTTATTAAACACACACACACACTCACACACACACACTCATATTTTAGTTGCAACTTGACAACTTATAATTGTATAAATTTAGGATACACAAAATGATACCATGATTTATGAATACCATGTGGTATGAAATCAAGCTAATTAACATAACCATCATCTCAAATACTTAATTTTTTTATGCTGAAGATGTTTGAGATTTATTGTCTTAGCAATCTTAGAATTCCAACAAAATCTCCAGCAAAACATGGTATGGGGTTGGGTTTGTCTGTTCTCCGGAGCTGTGTTGCACAGTGTGGTGTATGCAGTTGGTGACAGTCTTGTGACCTCCTCTCTGAAAAGGTCCCAAGTCTCTCAGCAGAGTCCTTCACACAGGTCAGGAAGCTGAGGAAGCTTAGAGTTCATCTCTATCCTTAGCACAGGCTACTTGTCAAAGTTGGGCAGAATTAACAGAAAGATGACTTTAACTGGGAGACGCTGATCTAGGACTTAGCCATCTAGAAGTCCTTGCAACAGGATGAAGAGCTAAGAATCAGCTAAGAGGACTGAATTTCAAGGGTACATGATGGTGCTGTAATAGAACAATTGTTTATTGTTGATAATTAGGAAAATAGAGAAAGAAACTAAGACAACTGTAGAAACCCCTGGTGCAGAGCGCTGTGGCACAGTGTGACAGTGGGGCTGGCATTCTTGGGAAGGCAGCCTGCCAGAATGTTCCAGAAGGCTTCACAGTGGCTGTCAACACAGTAATTCCCTTTCATGTGATTTTCCAAAGGAAGCAGGCAGAATGATAGACAGATTTATATTCAAGAACACTTGCTGCTGCCTCCTATTTAACAGTAAAAGAAAATGGATTCAATCTAAACATCCAAAAATAGAGAATTGTCAAAATAAATTACATACATTCATACAAAGGCATTCTTTACAGCCAATAAAAGTCAGTCTTGGGAAGAATTCCTCGTGGTGTAGAAAATATTTAATAGTAATGGAAAATAGGCTCCTAAGTAGTGTGTTCCATATGATTCACATGTTTTGATACATTCATATTTTAAAATAGAGAAATAATAATGTACCCAGATGTTAAAAATTATTTGGGTGTAAGTATTGAGATTATGGGTGCTTTTAATTTTTTATGCCAAGATTTTCTGTATTTTCATAAATATGTAATTTTATAGACACTTAAATGAGTTTAAAGTTTATTCTTATTTGCAGTGCTATATAAAACAATTGACAATATCTTTTTTAAAATTTTATTTAAAGAAAGACTAAACAAAACAGAAAGTGGGTAGAAATAATACATATATTCAAAGAAAAAATAAACAGTAATAAGTCACTAGTTGATGTTTACATACTGTCCTCTTACAAATTGTTCAAGATACAAAAGTGGAACATATAAAGTGGGAATTCAAACAGGGAGACTGCAAACTGTTCTGTTCAACTATCCAACAAAAGCTTAGTAATATGGTTGTCAACCCTATACACTTAAACATACATGCAGTTATCCATATCTTCATTTATGTTGAAATTAAACAAACTTAAGCAGGCTAAAGTCATTCTGAACAAAGAATAATAGTATTGCTGGATTTTATATCATGACACTCTGGAATCAGCACTGGACACTGTAGTGTCTTTTTTTTAACTTTATTTAAAGAAAGACTAAACAAAACAGAAAATGGGTAGAAATAGCACATACTTTCAAAGAAAAAATAAACAGTAAGAAATCACTGGTTGATGATTACAGATTGTCCTCTTAAATAGTTATTCAAGATATTAAAGTGGAGCATATAAAGTGGGGATTCAAACAGTGAGGCCGCAACCAGTTCTGTTCAACTATCCAACAAAAACCTAGAAATATGGTGATCAATCCTAACACACATGCAGTGATCCATATCTTCAATTATGTTGAGATTGAACAAACCCAAGCATGCTAAAATCACTCTGAACAAAGAATAATACTATTGCTGGGTGTCACATTATGACACTTCAGGATCAGCACTGGGTACTTTAAAGTCTCTTTTTCTTCAAAGTATCTGTTCATTTCATCATGTGTCATATCAGTTCTCATAAACTGTTTATAGGTTCTACACATGCATGAGTCTTAACATGTATTTCTATCCTTTCTATATTAGAGGGAGAAACAAAACAAAGCAAGACAAAACAAAACAACAATATCTTAATAAATGTTTTCTAGCCTTTTTTCTCTGTATATATAGGTACCCAAGAATGATACATTTAAGTGTTGTATATCCACCTATGATCACCAGTCACCTCCAAAACAGCTTCAAAATACTTGACACCAGTGTAGAAATAACTTGCAGGGCCAAGGATTTCACTCAGTGGCATAAGCGCCTGCCTGGCAAGTGCAAGGTCGCAAATTTGATCCCTGGTACCAAAGGAGAAAAAAAGAAATAACTTGCAGTTCTAGTCATGATTATCCAGCTGGTGATTGTGCATGCTTTGAAAAAACAATAATTAACTATAAAAATTGACAGTTTGTTTAGCAATTTAATTTAAAAATTCTAGTTTTGTTTTTATTTGGTGTTTGAGTATAACTCAGGATCACATGGTGGTTAAATTCAAAGACCCTTGGGGCCTGCTGCAGCGCAGAGGCTCTGCGGCTAATGGAACAGCGTGTCCAGCTCCTCTCCCACTAATTATCCCTTTGGGAGACTTAGGCGCTCAGACCACAAGACTGTGACTACACTGTGCTCCAATCCCAGGCAGTATTTTGGGTTAAAACGAAGGTCCTTGAAGAGCTGACCTATCAACCGAAACCATCAAGCAATGCATAGAGCTCTACGGATATTTAAAATTCCTAGATTAGTTAAGCTGTAACTATTGTCATAATCAGTCAGCTAGACATCTGAAATATGTGAAAAAATCAGGTCAAAAGACATTTTAAGCTGGAGCGAAGCCTGGCTGTGAGGTCAGATTGGGGCTCTGTTTTTGAATTTATCACTTTGTCTCCCTTATTAATTATGACTTTCAACTGAAAAAATGCTTATTATGAAATTGTACCCTAGTACCCTTCAAGGTATAGTATATTTTCAGGTTTGGGTAAAGGAAACTATAGGAGCCCTTTCTGGTTGGCCTTCACCTGCTATGTTAAACGTATTTTATATGTATATAGAAATAGTACCTTTTCAAATGCTAAAAGGAAAATATTCAGATATATTATGACAAAATAGATTAACAGCAACAAAGAAAATATTTCTCCTTAACCATGCTTTTGATTTCATATAAAAACAATTTCTGAACTTTCTGTGGGTTTCAGCCAAACTATCAGATTGTTTGCAATGGGAACTTCAAAAGACCTGAGACAGAACAAAAGTACTATATTCTGCCTATGAAAATCCAAGAAGAAGAAAATATTCAATGCTTTCACAGTGCTGTGGCTTTATCAAGTTCATTTTTCTTAATTGCTACTCAAAGCCCACGAAAAATACTTTCTCACGAGAGATGAGTCCTTTCATGCAGCCAATCAATAGATATTGCTTATGTAAATCTTAGATGTAGGGTCCACTCCTAGAAATTAATATTCAGCCCTGATCCAGCTGCCCATTGTCATCCATCAAAAAGCATTTCTAATAAAACTTCTAGGCATCTAAGAAGAGGCTCATACTTAGAGTTAGCACAACACTTAGGAAACTCAAAAAGTAAGCTGCTTTCCAGCTTCTGGTTCTCTCGTCTATTTGGCTTTTCAGTACAGTTTAATATTTTCCCATAAATGACATGGGGAGAGGCTGGCTTTTCCTCCCCACCCCCTTCATTGTTTTTGCCTTTTGCCGTGCACCAGGAACTCCAGCATCCTTTCAACAGCCAGAGCTGGGAAGTAAGCATCTTGCTCCAAAGATCAGAAAACCACCCAGGCAGGCCCTCAGCAGGCCTCCCGCTGGCTGAAACACATTTGAAGTCCAGCCGGCTTGAGCAACTGAGCTACTGCTTGGTTTGTGTCACACCCTCCTTCAAGCATCATAGGACAGTCGTGCTCCCCCACACAACCCTGTGATCTGTGTATAGTCCTGTCTCAAATACGTGCTTTACTTATGTTTTTGTTTTCTCTTCCAGCCTCATTGACTGTTATATCAGTAAAAGCTGTCTCAGGCATGATCACTTTTTCTGTGATGGATAAAATGCAGCTAACGTATCCCATCTTCTATGTCATGTTTATCATCATGATAGCATCTTGTGTTTTCCAAGTCAAGTAAGTTAGCATCCACCTCCTCGCTCGTCTCTCAGCATTCCTGTGCTTCTCTGCGCATTAGTCTTAATTGACTTCAGATGATAATTAAAATGAGCTTTGATTGCTAGGGGTGAACAGACTACAGCTGAACCTACAGTTTGTGCCTCGTCCTTCACATCCAATAATAGGTTTTTACTAAGCATCGCCTTCACGTCTTGCGCATTCTAAAGTGCGGCCATAATCCTGCTAAGTGCGCTTTGATGCTTTCCTGATGCTCTTCTGCTTATAATTAATATCCATCGTACACAGGTTGTCATTTGCAATAAATCACAGGGGCAGGTCCACATCCAGAATTTCATTCTAAATATAGGAAATACGTGAACCCTTCACCTTCGGTTCTTAGCTCATGTTCATTAATTGCCCAGAGATGGACAAAACCAGACATTTGGCCGGGAGGAAAATCCTTTCCTCAGAACTTTGCATCTTTTGCCAGAATTTTCCTTGCACCCTTGGGATTTCAGAGTGATTGTTTTATGTTTCTCTTGGGCCTTAATACTGGTGACATGGAATATTTTTAATTTCTGTCCTCTCCCCTCCACCTCCATCTGCTCTGATCACTTCCTCTCCATTTCACTGTGTGATTGTGCCTTTGCTTGCTGCCTTCTATTGAGTCACCCAGAGAGCTTTCTATTTACCCCTGAGCACTATTCAAAAGCACCACCCCAGTGCCAGCTAAGTAATCAGAGCTCAAAGTCGGAGTATGAGTCGTTCTTTCTGTAGGTAGTGGAAGTAAAGTCTGATTCTGTGGGCCAGATGTAGGCAAGGCCTGTGGAGGGTTACTAGAGAAACCCAGTGTTTTGCCACTGTTTTGTTTAGCATGTTTCATAAGATTGAGTGTGTTTATAATACCGGGATCTTGCTATTAGTTTTCTTCTGTCTTTCTTCCAAATGAATCCATACTGCGGCAGAATCTTCTGGGACTCAGTGATAGTGGGATTATCCTTACCCTATGCTTCAAGAACATGAAAGACGCACACACTCAAAGGTGAATCATATCCGTTCACCCATATTTCAGCCTCTGCACCTGTCACACCATGGAACTGTGGCTCTTAGCATTGGTTGCCCAATAAAATTAGCTGAGGAAGTTTGGCCATATAACATGTGAGCATATGTGTATATATGCATGCGTATTCTGCATCCATGTATCCCTACATGTATGTATGTATATACACTCGCACATACCCGATCTGTACCACAAAGGGTTTTTGTTTTTGTTTTTTTGGTTGCTTGCTTGCGCTGGGTGGGGTCCTAACCATTTATGTCTTTTGAAACACCCAGGTGACACCCACGGGGTTCAGCACTTTAGGAAACAGTCTAGGCCCTACCAGGGCAGCACAGCACAGTGTGGGAACCTGAATTCCTGCCGGTGGTCAGAGCGGGAAGCTGAGCTCCCACATGTGCTGTGCAGCTGGAGCACTAAGCATTGTTTTTGAAACATTAAACATTCCTTTACTTCTCCATCTTCTTTCTTGGCACGTGGCATGTCAATGGATAGCTCTGCTATTCCCCAGATATGATATTTAACAGATTCTAGGCCTATCCTAATGAATCAGCCCCAATGCGATACCGGTCCAGCAGCTTGAATTGCTTCCAACTCAAACTTCTGTGGCCTCAGAATATGATTAATTGCTTTTCATTGTTACTGTTGTTGGTTTAAACAGACCATAAAACCTGACATCTGATCTCATACATCAGATGCATATAAGCTATGACTGCTGATTGGAAATGCCCTCTCGATGCACTTCCTTTGCCTTTGTAGTTGTAGCTAAAGAACATGCACTTCTTGAAGTCATTGTTAACTTATTCCTGAGCATCTCTAAGCCTGAGCTTCAAAAAGTATCTTGTGCTCTAGGTTCCTGAATCAAGCCACGAAGCTCTACACTATGACAACAGTGGTGCCGGTGAACCATATTTTCTTCACGACCAGTGCCATTATTGCAGGTGAGTCTTGGTGAATCCACCCCACCACACACTTAAATAAAGTTTCTCGCAGAATAAATCAGTGAACTGAAGAATCTTTAAACCCGAGGGAGCTGTGGAGCCCATCTCTCCCCGAGCCTCCACCCCACAACTGATCTTCCTTCACGACATCCTCTAGGATGGGCTGTTCTCTGTGTGTGTGCTCCCTGGTACACCATCACTCCTGGGAGAGCTCAGTCCTGTTTCAGATCCTGTCGCTGTTCAAAGAGTTCTAATTATCATAAAGTGTTTCCTTAGGGCTGGGCTGCAGCTCAGTGGCAGAGCCCTTGTCTGACATGCACGAAGCCCTGGGTTTCATTCCTATACCAAAAAAAAGAAAGAAAAAAAAGTGTTTATTTTGGAGCTGAAATTAGTTTCCTTGTGAACTCAAAACAATCATCTTTGTTATGCTCTCTGGAGTCTTCCTCCTTGCCAGCCCTTCTGATAGTCAAAGCAACCAAAAGGTCCTTTGGAGCGTTGTCTCAGGGCCAAGTATCCCCAAGTCCATGAACTCTCCCCTCATGTCCTCACCAGCTCGATCAGAGCGGGGCCCAAACCCAGCGCAGCACTCCAGGGAGGGCCAATAGCCATGTATGGAAACGATGGCCTTTGCTCTTCTGGCCTTTACTTTTCTGCTGTTATAGTTCTTATATTTTAATGGGCAATTTTTTATATTACAGACACAATATAAATTTAAAGCTTGGTCCAAACCAACACACAGTAGATTCAAGGAGATCATTTGTGCATTCGGCATCTGCTGTGCCCTCATTCATTGATTTATTTCATATGCTTACCACCTTCTCAGCTCAAAAGTTCATTTCTCAGGGTAAAGTTTGCATATTTTAGAGTTAATTAGGGGCTACCTGTTAATTAGAGATTACCCATTTATGTGTGTGTGTCTTTTGGAACTGAGAATCAAACTCACAACCTCACATTTGCCAGGCAGGCACTGTGCCACTGAGCTAGATCCCCGGCCCAGAATTACCTGTTTCCTAATTGCTACATCTATTTTATTTCCTGGCAAACAAGGTGACCAACCAGTGGACAGTTATTTAAAACAATTAATACATTTTCTGTTTCTCAAAATTGAGTCTTATATTGAAATAAAAAGATTATATCCCAAGACATCTAGTTTTTGTTTTTGTTTTGTTTTAGCATTTTATGCTTTCTGATGAAGTGAGGTAAGTGTGTCCCAGAGTTATTAGGAAATGAAAGGAAGGTCAAAAAGAGTTGTGAGCATGACACACAGGCTAATAGTTGATATTAACGTGCCCAAAGATGTATGAACGTGTGGTTCCCTGAGGTGGGGAATTCTAGGGAGCAATAGTGCAAGTTCTCAGTTCTCAACACATGGTGGGATTGATGAGTCAGAGGCGCTAGAATTTCTGAGAATTATGTCAGTTCATCTGATTTTACATGGCGGACAGAAGTCAACCTTCTTGACTAACTTCTCTGCCACCATCCAAGTATAGCTTAAAGCTAAGATGAGACACCATATTTGGCTTACTAACTCAGTAAGATTCCATGTGTTCTTTTTATTGTATGGCTATGCTAACACAAGCACCCTTCTGGGGCTGAGTGGATGGTGCCACCCTTCTCAAACTGAGTTCCATCATTTTTGTCGAGATTATTAAAAATGTTTCTACTCCTTGATTCTACCCACCAACAACACAAATAACCTGATCAAAACACAGGTAAAGAACTTAACTGCTATATACATCTTTCTGCGAAGAAGATCTAAGATGGCCAATGGCATATGAAAAGATGATCAGTGTCACTAATCAAGAAAATGCAAATCAAAGTCACAATCAGACTCATTAAGATAGCTACAATTACCAGAGAAACTACATGGGGGCACACACCTGTAATCCCAGAACTCTAGGAGGCTGAGTCAGAAGGATTGCAAGTTCAAACCCAGCATAGGCAATTTAACAAATTAATGAGAACCTAAATATTTTTTTAAAGGAGTAGGGGTGTATCTCAGTGAGAAGGCACTGGGCTCAATCCCCAGTGCAAAGACAACAACAACGAAACCAAATGAGTAAACAAGTGTGGGAGCGGATGTAGAGAGATTAGAACCATCACACAGCATGCATAGAATATAAAGTGGAGTACTGATATAGAAAGCAGTATGGCAGCTCTTCAAAAATATTAAAAACTGAATTCTCAAATAATCATCAATTTCACCTCTGCGTTATAGTAAAGGAATTGAAAACAAAGACTTGAAAAGATACTTGTACACCTGTGTTCACTTGAACATGTTCAATAATAGCCAAAAGGTGGAAGCAATCCAGTGTCCAGATGAACAGGTAAATTATATGTGAGATAGATAGATGATAGACAGATAGATAGATAGATAGATAGATAGATAGATAGATAGATAGATAGAATTTAAGCAGCCTTAAAACAGAAGGAAATTCCGACACAAGCTACAACATAAATAACCCTCGAGGATAGCAGTTTATGTAAAATCAGCCACGAAAAGAACAATACTGCAGAATTCCACTTCTTTGAAGTATCTAAAAACAATATAATTCATAGAAACGGGGAGCAGAACAGTGGTTGGAGGGGTGTTGCTTAATGGGAGTAGAGTTTCAGTTTTTCAAGATGAAAAGGTTTTGGAAATTGGTTACCCAACAATGTAAACATGCTGAACTCTACTGAACTGCACACTTAAAATGTAAGATGGTAACTTTTACATTGATGTCTATTTTACTACAATTTATTTAAAGTAAAAAAAAAGTTTCTACTCGTTGAGACATTCTACTTCTAAAACCCCATTCAAATGATGACAAAAATCCTAAAACATTGGGGGAAAATACATACAAAGAAATTCATTGCTACTTTCAGAAACAACTTAAAATGCTCTTAGAGAAATTGACATGATGGTGCATCAGCTTAGCATAACATGAAAACATCAAAATGATTACAAAAAAGTAAGTAGTAAGTTGGAAAATGCTTCTGAGATGTTCACTCATTTGACAAATATTTAAGAGAATGGGATGTGGCTCCTTCATGTAAGACATTCATCCTGTAAGTGGGAAAAGGTTCAAACTGAGAACTGGACTCTATTCTTGGTCACCACAGTCTCCAGCATGGTCCGAAGAAGACACTCAAAAAATATTTGTTGACTGGCTAGAGAGGCTAACACCACCTACACAAAACTCCAGTTCCTGATGGTTCATAATTTAAAGATAACTTACTCATTAAAACTCTACAAAGTCCTTGGATCTCTGAAACAAGAAGAAATCGTCACGACCAACCGGCCACTTCTGGAAGGAAAGACCTGAAGGAAAGCCTGGAGAGAAAACACAGGAGGGGCCAGCAGAGCGAAACAGAGCCGGGGCAACACCCCAGGGGTCTGAGTGTCGGCCAGGGCCTGCCAGGACAAGTGGCCAGGCCCAGCAGACCGTGGATAACTCAGAGAGACCACAGGGCCTGCCATGTCAGGCACCCCAGGGTCCACCCAGCCTCTCGGGCCAGGCTTGCTGACCCTTGATCGAAACCTGTAATTGGGAACTGGTCACTAGAGCTTAGTTTTCTTGTATGTTCCAGTGAGGAAAATCCAGGACTGGATAAGAAACTTGTGCTTGTGAAACATATGTCAATTGTGTTCATGTTGTAATAATGATAATTGTATTATGTACAGTCTACAAGTCTGTGTTCTTTTTGGAACAGCTTAAAACCTAAGTGTGGCACGCAACATTTTTATTTTAGCTAAACCACTGAATGCATTTTAAGGGTAACCTTATGTAGAAAAACACAGTAACATAATTTTTAAAACAATGCATTGCATGGTAAATACTCTTATGCTAAAATTAACTTTGTCTGCTATTCCTGTGTAGGCATTGTCTTTTACCAGGAATTCTTTGGTGCTGCTTTTCTCACCATATTTATATACCTATTTGGGTGAGTAAATGCCTCAGAGGTAAGGTATGTGAAATTCTATTACTTTTACATAGGATTTTTGGCATTGTACCTGAAGTAGAGAAAATTGGAAATAATGTAAGAAACGTCAGTTTCCTGAACTCTTAAAGAAACATTTTTCAACTTAACACCCCACCCAGGGTTCAATGTCTCTGGCTTCGTGATTCAGGCCCCCTCTGAAGGCCCTGAAGCCCTGGGGATTTTCAGTTCCAGCCAAATCAGGATAAACCCACTGGCCTTGAAGCCACACCGTAGCCTTTTCTTGCTGTCTTAGACCTACCACGCTCTTGGGAACATGAGATCTGGAGTCTGGGTGCATGAATGCCTCTGAGGTGACCCAAAATACAAGGCAGAGGCTGAGGCTGAACCTTAGCTTTGGACCTGATGACCTCAGCTGAGCAGTGCGCCTTTCTTGTGTTAGCATGCCCAGCTTGACCCCTCGTAGCCATCTGTGGGCATCATTGCTAGGACTGCTAGAAAACAGAGAGCAGAAGCTTGACAACATCTCACCAATGTGTAGAAGCTTCCATCAGCTCCACCTGGCTATATTAACACTAAGCTGCTCTTTGAGCCACTGCTCAGTCCGGCCGTGGTGTGCAAACTTGAGCCTTGTCTATTTTCTGCATAGGAAATCATCTATCTTGAAAATTCAATTTCATAAGACAGTTGGGCAAGGCTAGACTTCTGGGGTCTGGAAACTATGACTACTCTTATGGCCAAGGACAATGAAATTTCTTAGAAAATTAAAGAATAAATTGTTTTTTCACTCATGTTGCATGCCAGTAATGGGTCTGGGCATGCATGGATAGAAAACGAGACCCAGTGTCTACCCAAAGGGTTTAGAGCCTGAATTAGTCTCCAGATGGTAAAAACCTGGGGCAGAGATTTTTTGGAGGCTGCCCAAGTCTTGGTTCTGGGTACAAATATTATTGGCTGCAACAATTAAGACAATCCTAGAGAGCTTACCATGAGGAACAGGATAAACAAAACTGATGGCATCTGTGTCATGGTATAGAATATGGGGCTCCGTTATTTAATACCATAAGCTGTTTCGGTATTCCTGTGTCTTTATTCATATTTTTCTTACAGGTGCTTTCTGTCATTCCTTGGCGTGTTTTTGGTCACAAGAAATCGAGAAAAGGAACATCTGCAGCAGTCCTTTATTGACTTTGGAAATATTCCTGGTAAAAATATATACATCTCCTCTAATTCATAATAGAGAGTTTTATCCTTCTAAACGAACAATCGTTGGCATCGTTTTGGGTGTTAAGTTAATATAAAACATAATTCTTTCCCTTGAAAAAAAGTACATTTACTGATGAGGCCAAAGGTGGTATTTTGAGTGTAAACATTAAGTTAGGGGATGTCAGTTTTACACAGAACACTGGGGCGGAAAAGAGCTGACAATGTGGTCCTGATCTGCGGGATTTCTGCTCTGGCTTCCTTGACATGTAAAGGGGTAGGGGAAACCGGGAGGCCTGGCTGCATGGATTCTTGCTGTGAGAGAGCCTGGGAAGGAACAGAGAAGGACCAGAGCTTAGGCCGCCAAGGAGCTTCACTCCTGGGCTCATGACAGCGTCACGGTCACCAGATAGGCAGTAGCTTCTGCCCCTCCTCCCTCCTCACTCATCCAGATTAAGCCATGTGCATCATCTCTCCAGGTCCCATTTCCAGAGAAATAATTGACTCAGGCATGAAACAGTTTGCAGGTCACTACCACCCACTCCATCCCCCCAGCAGCTTCTAGCTTTGCTAGGGGTTTGCGGTGACCTGCAGGTTTCCAGGAGGGGAGAGATTGCCAGGGCACCCCCCACCACCACCACCATCACCATTCTATTAGCACTGTGCCTTTGGAACCGAAAACCACAGAAGTGTCATCCCTACAGCTGAGAAGTGATGGCTGTGGGAAATGAATTCCTTATACGCTTTGCCACCTGAGCCACCTTATCAGCCAAGAGCATTTGGTGCCAGATTTGGCATTTGCGACATGGACTTGCATTATAGAGGGCTTGTATGAGAAAAAAAAGTCTATTTATTTTTTAACTATTTATTTTTTATTTTAAAGTCTATTTATTTTTTATTTTATGTTTCTCAAAGCAAGTGAATGCTTCACACGAATTTCCTGACTCAGCCAACCCAATGTCTGCTCCTCACGTGCACAGCACATGGCCGTGTTACCAAGTGGCCTGGAAGTCCAAGGGCCTTTTCTTCCTTGACATTCACCTTTGCTGTTTAGAGGGTGACCACATAGTTTTTTTTTGTTTTTTTTTTAAGGACTAAAATGTGGCCTGGATTGAACAGAAAATATTAGGACTCTATTCTGTAAGAGCTCAAAAGATCTTTTTATGTTATTATCTCCACAGGGAAACAAATGTTGGACAAAATACAACCAGATTCAAATGGCTTATCCTATGGAACTCTGCCTGATGGAAGTGACTCAACAAAGAGCCAAAGTGGAGAGAAGAAAGAGGTCTAAACTGCCGAGAGGGATAGCTGTTGGCCCGTTACTTGATACCACCTTTTTAAAAAATTGCACATGTTCAATTTGTGTCAGCAGCTATTTCATGCTGACATGTGCAAGCGTTCGTGTCAGTCCTCCCCCCACGATGGACGATCAGAGGCTTCCTAAGCCTTGACAGTCTAATGTTCTCATGGAATGTAATTCAAAGTGTTCCCTACACCCTGGACCTCTCCCGAGCCATCATCTAATGGACTAGATCTTAATTACGGCCTGGCTGCTTCAGCAGGGATGTCACACAAAAATGTGCCTTCGCAATCTGGTCATAGAAGGCATAGGTCGCTGCTGCTCCCATGTGGCTTGTAGAGTCCTGTGCTTGGCTTTCAAGAGAACACGTTAACCTCACATGCTCAGTCCTGAAAGGTTTTGAGAGCTTTTGTTTTTTTCTAGAACACCATTTATGAGCCTCCCCTATGAAACTTGCCTTCTTACTCCAAAATTAGAATGACAGGGTATCGTTTCTAAAAACCAGTGCTACTAAACTCCTCCTTTGAAAACAGAAGGCATCTTTAAAATCAGAATCTACAAATGGGACTCTGTGACGGTGTGTACCAAAAATCAGGCTGGTGGAATTTTTTTTAAGTCTAAAATTGGAAAATGTAATAAGCTAGACTGTGCTCTAGCTTTGCTGGGGGTTCTGCAGGGCACATATTAAAATTGGGACAGACACGGAGATCAGCATGGCCCCTATGGAAGGGAAATATGCAAATTTGTGAAACATTAAGAAAATGTTAGAATCAATGTTTGCTTTTTTTTTTTTTTTTTTCTGTCTTTTTGAGACCAGGCCTCACCACGCAGCTCAGGAGGCCGTGGGCTCACTTTGTAGCCCAGGCTGGTCTCGAACTTGCAATGATCCTCCTGCCTTAGCCTCCCAAGTACTGAGATTACAAGAGTGCACCACCACACCCAGCCAATGTTTGCTTTTTAATAAAAGTATAGGATGGTGAATTTTCTTCACCCATATGATCCTATTATACTTGAATTGAAAATGAAGAAAAACTTGATGTCCTGTGCTTGTCACTGTGATAAATTTTATAATTAACTTTCAACGTGTCTCAAAAATTGCAGGTAGATTTTGTGTGTGTGTGTGTGTATGTATGTGTGTATGTATGTGTGTGCCCCGTGTGTGTGGCACTACATCCCCAGCTCGGTTTTAATTTTTGTTTTGAGCCAGAGTCTTACTAAGTCACTTGTTTGCCCAACCTGAGCTTGAATGTGAGGTTGTCCGGCCACAGCCTCCCAGAGTGCTGGGATTACAGATATGTACACAATGCCCAGCTTAGATCCTTAGTGATACTTACACTACATACTATTTCTTCCTTCAGTCCTTATCTCAAACTTTGTACATTCCTCTAGGAGAGGAGAGACATGATTAGAGAGCTAGATTTCAGCAATTTAAATCTGTGGACATAGAACATAGCCACGTGTCAAGGAGGAGTCTCAGATGGCTTTTCCGTTGCAATTTATCACATATCTACTAAGAAAAGTGTGCGGGTGGATGCTACAGTATTATTTATTGTTGATAATCTGCCCAATATTTATATGAGAAGAAAGGAGAAAACTTCCCTGTCACCAAATAAAAATTTCTAGCTTCAATGACGTTCTCAAACCATCGGTCACTCCACACACCAGCCGTGTATCGGTCCAGTGACCTTGTCATGTACATGTCTAAGGTGTTTACTCCGAGCTAGTGCGATGGTCATCGTAAGTGCTTCAGTCTTGCAGTTTGTTCCCTGTCAGCTCCTCAACTCCTGACCAGACTGGCCGATCTGTCTCCACAGGGTGGAGGTCTGAATCCATCAGAATATGTGAAAACTAGCCGAGAGCCCAAGCGTAGCTGCTAAGCCCCTGACAGTAATTCCTGCCTTTGTGGAAAATGTGCCCTCACTTGGATGCAATGAGCCCACAATTGATGGCTTGTTTCGCTGAATGGGTCCAGCATGTTGGCACTGGAAATCTTAGCTTCCTTCAACTACATGTTGCTGGTGAATCTTGAAACCATTTTCAAAGATTGGGAAAAAGACTAAAGAGTTTTTACTTGAAGTAGGACCACATACAACACTAGTGTGCAGTTCTGAGCAGTGTAGAATTTCACACGCACGCACGCACGCACAGCACCAGTACCTCAGTGACCACCAGCATTTGCCTCTGTTAAAACTTTTGAGAAGTGGCATTGTCTTATGCAACCCAGAAATGTCTTAGTGATCCCGGCAAAGTATGAAGTATATTCGGGTCTTATTTTTTGTATGGCTGCTTCAGACTAAGGTGAACGGCAGGGGTTTTTGTTTACTGCCTTGTAGATTTTTACAAGTCTCAGTGCGTGACAACAACAAAGCCACCCCAGTCCGCCTCTTGGTGGTGTTAGCTGGGGACCCTCAGCCAACATTTGGCTCCTCTATTTGTCTGAACCAGGGGTTGGTAAACTTTCCAGTAAAAACTTAGTGAGTATTTTGGAGTTGTTTGTCTACACAATGTCTGTCCCAACTACTCAAATCTGTCATTGTGCACAAAACAGCCATAGACGTTACGTAAACAAGGGAGCAGGGCTGTGCTCCAGGAGAACTTTATTTACAGAAACAGGCCAGTCCATGGACTGCTGTTTACCAACTCCTCATCTAGACCTTTCTGCCCTCCTCCCGCCACTGTTTTCCCATTTCTTAGAGTTTAAAGTTGGCACTTCATGTCAAATGAGTCACAATGGGAATGTGAAAAAATGTCTTGATTTTATACTGGGAATTTTTATTTACATGAGAAAAGGGAGTGATGCGTTTATTCTCAGACCCTGGATTTCTCTCTTTAAAAGTCAGTAGATCTTTAATGAACACCACTACCTGTACCAGAAGAGCCTCTCCAAACCCACACTCTGACCTATCAGCTTCAGAAATGACCTTTTAAAGGTGATTGTTTTTTTCGATGTAGATGTTTGCTTGCCCTATCACTGTAATACGTTTGTTACTGGAAGCCCTTGAAAACTAATACAATAAAAAATTCCTCAAGAAGTGACTGAGAATGAAACACACACACACACACACACACACACACACACACACACACGAGTCCTGGAGATCCTGTTACATGGCAGAGAGAAAAGGAAAAGATGCACTTCATAGATTAGTGCATTTCAGTGCAGTTAAAGAGTAATGGTGATAGTGTGTAAGCCTGGCACCATGGGAAGCAGGTGCAACACTGGATGACTCAGATGGATGCAAACACCGAACCACATCCCTGAAGCCAGGAGCCCGCTCTGCCCTCCTTGTTTCCAAGCACACAGCACATCCAGGGATGGTGAGTGTACACGCTCGGCAGCTCCAAATGCTGCCTCACACTTGCCAATTTAATAGTAATATGATGGACATAAATATAGCAGTTACTAAATGAACCCGCCCAACACCCTTCCAGACTGCTTTACGTAAACTCCATGGCTGGCTCTTGAGACGTCCCTGAACTAGAACAGCTGAAAACCTAATGCATGTGTTTGGCACCAGTGGATGTGAGTCCTTTAGTGGAGTGGCTAGATAAACACCACACATTTTGAGCTATTAGAGCAAGATCTCAAAATTGAACCCAACATGATTGTGTGGGGAATTTTGAGGCTGCTTCTAATCGTTAGGCTCATCAACAGTCTGGCTCTTATTATGGCCATTTTGAAGTAAAAAAAAAAAAAATTAAATAAAATTCCACACAAACACAGTTTCCATGCAAATACAGACCAGTCTTGGGCTGTTAAGCATGGTGTTTCAGCAATTGTGGTGAATGCAAGGCAGAGCCTTCCTACCCAGGAATGCTTGCGTTTGTCCCCTTATTCTCACCAGCCTCAGGGTGCCACACAATATGCTGTCCTGTGCCAGGAGAACAAATCAGTTACAGGAGCTGTCGCCCGATGAAGGAAACATTTTTTTGTTGTTGTTAGGGCGGAAACTCCCTTTTTCAATGCAAGTCCTTATTGAGAGTTAATGAGTCCCAACCACAATGTAAAAGAAGAATATCAACCTCAGTATCAAATAAATGTGGTGTTTCAGGGTGCACCCAGCTGGGCCAGGCATTGCCAAGAGTCTCACAGAATTCCAGGCAAGATGCAAGATAGTCGCTGTGTTCCAGGAAAGAATTGCCTTCCCAGGGAGTTGGCAAGTGCGTAACCGAGAAGGAGCCAGTCCGTTCCTGATGGGCCCAGCTTGCATGGACCAAAGCCACTTAGCACATTTGAGCTGCTGCTATCCAGACGTGAGCCAATCCTCCCAGCACGCATGCATTGCACTCCAGAGCCTTTTCCTTCATGGTTCTAATTTGAAAACCAACCTCAGAAATGTTCTGAGGTTTGGGCTCTCCCCCTTCTGTCTGAAGCACCTCACCCAAACCTTCTCTATACCTTGCATGAACAAGGAGATGAATTGGTTCAAGAACTCTTGATCCAAGGACTTGAAGCTTAGAATATTTACCTGATTGTAGGCTATGCACCCAGTTACCAAGCTTAACAAATAGTCATCAATTCACTGAAAACATAATCACCTGTCATTTTTAATGGAATGATTGGTGTATTTTGAAGAGTAGTTTTAGTTTTGTTTCTCCAAAATCGAAGTGAAGGTTATACATTCCCAGTACCCAAATCTTCATGGGCTCTCCCATTATCAAAATCCCCCTCTGAGAATGGCACATTTGTTACAAACGGTACCTATGCTGACATGGCACTGTCACTCCAAGTCCCTCATTTACACTGGGGTGCACTTCTGGTGCTGTACATTCTGATGTCTCCTAGCATCTCTCCAACACTGGAGTATTGTTCAGAGTAGTTTTATTGCCAAAAATCTTGGGTTCTCTCTACCTGTCCCTCTTTCTCTTTGTTGTAGTTACAAGATTGCAAATAGATCACATACAGGACACATAATTTATAGTATTATTTTGTGATAGTCACCAGAGTCAAATACAAGAAGTGCAGAAAATCTGTCCACACACCAAAAACCTAGAGAATCCAGCTGACGGCCTGGATCCCACAGCAGTGTCCTGCACGAGTCCAGCAGAAGACCTAGAGCCCATGACAATGACTCATGCAAGTCTGTTTTAAGGATCTGTGCTGAGAAGGCTCAAAGCTCAGCAGTGGAAGCTTGAAAATCTATGCCAGCGGGGTGAAGGAGCTGTGCCAGCAGGCCAAGGGTTGTGCGCTGGAGCCAAGAAGTGATGCTCAAAATAAGGACCAGGGCTCCTCCGAAAAGTACACAGCCATGCTAGCAACAACAAGATCCTGAGCTCCTCTGACAGTGAGAACAGATGAGTTCATGTCAGGAAGCCAGCGTGACAAGCTTCTCCTGGAGAACCAACAGCTCCAAACAGCAACACTACTCTTCCTCTCCAGGTCTCCTTTTTATGCTGGCAAAAATGCTCAGGTGGGCCATCTCCACGCAGCCCCATGCTGATTCAGGTAGGTTGGTGTTTAAACTGATCATCAGTTTTCAATCCATCACACCTGCTAACCCTTAATCGTTTTTATTCCCTCCAAAGTTGTTTTCCTAGAATGTCATAGAGTTAGAATGATACAGTATGCAGGGTTTTTTTAGACTAGATTCTTCATTTTGTTATTTACATTTTACTTTCCTGCATGTCTTCTCATGACTGTTCATTTCTGCTCAGTGTCAAATAATATTCCACTAAGCTGGAGGTACCACAGTGTTTTTATCCATTGATCTACTGGAGAACATCTTGGTTTCTTCCAAGGTTTTGACAATTTATGGTTATTATGGGTATAAAACGAATTAGAAATGAAGACCAGTCCCTCAGGAGCTTGTTGTCCAATCAGAGAAACAATGGCAGTCATTTACTGACCCCGTACTATGTGCCAGGCAATATACTTAATTTTTTACTTCAGTTACTTGTTTAATCTTTGCAATGTCCCTTATCAGGAGGCTCTCACTGCTACTTTACATATTACAAAATTAGGACAAGAGAAAGGGCAGGGGCTAGGGTTGGATAAGTCAAGAGAGATAAGTAAGGCATAAGAGAACTCATGGAAGCCTTACTTTGAGGTGATGAGAGGCCCAGCCCTGCATTTGCAAGGCCCTTGTGTTCTACGAGCCTGTCTTCATCCTGGCCCTTGTGAGAGAGGTTAACTGATTTCACAACTGGGATCCGAACCCAGGACATTGGACTCTTAGCTGTCCTCTCATAGTGTGGCACATTACTTCACAGGTTAGAGGGTGGCCCCAAAATGGTTATGTTCATCTCCTAAACCTGAAGATGAATGAATGAGCTGTTCCTCGAGAAACAGCTCATCTGCAAAGCGAGAAGTTCATGAGACACGATTATCAGTGTCCTTCTAAAGGCAGAAGAGGGGCAGACCAGGCAAGGAGAAGATCCTGTGAAGACAGACACAGAGATGGGAGTCTTAACCCATGAGTCAAGGAATGCGTGGAGCCATCCCAAACAGGAAGACACAGGAAGGATTCTCCCCTTTGGAGCCTTCAGAGGGAGCATTGACCGGCCAACACCTGGACTTTGGCCTGCAGAGGAGAAGTTGCTTCAAGCTGTCACTTGAGTCGTAATGGATTGCAGCAATCCTAGGAAGCTCCTCCGGTGCAAGGGCTGAGCCGATGTTTAAAGCATGCGGAGAATCTGAACAGAGGAGGAAGACACCGAGGCAAAGGAGAAACCCAGTGATGGTTTAAAGCACACCTGAGCACCCAACACCTGTGAAATAGACTCACAGAAAGAGGAAGACAACTCAAGCAGCCCAGAGAAGCAACTCAGACAGCCTTGAGTGCCTGCTCTGGTATTAATTCAAGAGTTTGGGCTTAATTGGGGAGGAAATCATGATATTTACTTCACGATAAATGAAGGCATAAAGGATATATTCAGTAGCTTTTCAGAATCTCATCTAGCAGAAATTAGTGACATTTCCCCTGTATCCTTAGTCATATACTACAGACATAAAATGGCATAAGTGTCCATTGGTGACCCACCATGTCCTACCAAGAGGGACAAAATGTCTCTGGGCTGTGGCCTCCGACATGGGCTTGGGAGAACAGCTGCACCAGGAGGAGGGGCTGGGCCAACCAGAGCCTGAACTGGGAAGCACCGGAGTCAAGGAGCAGGCGTGGGTAGCGGCCTGGGAGGCTTCCTAGGGAGGCACGAAGGGGGAAGGGTCAGGAAAGGGCCACACAGCCCAAAGCTACTGGTTAACTGAAGTTACAGGGAAAAGGGAGTCACGAGTGCCAGAGAACTAACGGCCGAGCCTGTCAGCAGAGGAAGCAAAAGCAAGGAAAGCAGCGACAGTGAGGGCTTGGCCAGGCCACTGCGGTTAGAGCCAGCTGTGACCTGGGACACTTCACTCCCTTGGCCCAGAGGCTGCTTCCAGCAACCACCAGCCCCTGTGGCATGGCTCCTGGTCACCAGCAGGGCCTCATTCTCACAGGGCTCCCTGGGCCCAAAATACTGTGGTCACACAGGGCCTCTGGCACCATAAAGAGAAAGGGTGAGGCCCATCGAGAGAGAGAGATGCTTCCTGACAAGCAGGAGGACATTCTTTCAAACTACAGTGCAGAACTGCTCACTGTGTGTCTGCATTGGGAGGGGAGGGTTTTCAGGTGGGAGACGGAAGAGAGTGAGCCCAGGAGAGTTGTGAAAGTCCCTGGGAGAGCCTGGGCTTAATCATAACCAGCACTGCAACTTCGATTTTTACAGATGTGGCGATCTTCATGTGTGGTCTTTCAATAAAGGCTTGATCATCGCTGAGTAAGAAAGAGGGTAGAGAAGACATGCTGAGCAGCTGGACACAGGATGGCAACCCCGGGCCCAGGGCAGGAAGTCCCCAGGGTGCTACAGCTCATGAGCCCCTGGACACTTCACTCCTTCGCCCTGTCCACCAGGGAGAGGAAATGTGAACAGGTGGTCTCATGGGAAACCAGAGAAAGGGACTGAGTGAGGGTCAGAGGAGGCACCTCCAAGCAGGGCACATCCCCCAGGCTCCGTACCCCCGAGGCAAGGTCAGGGCTACACCTATGCCTTGGGAACA